ACGTAATGATTACACATCATATGTGTATAATAAACAATGTTTAGTGTTTCTTAAAAAAAAAAAAAAAAACAATGATGATCATAATAAATAATAATATGTTAAACAATGAAATTAAACAATCAGAGTATTATAACTTAAAAATCTAAAACGTAAACGCGATTTATAAATATTTTACAGTTCGAATTGCGATTTCGTGTGTGGGATTTACAATGCTGTAAATTTCGCCAACCGCATAATAATAATTATTGGCGATGTGTGGGCGTATAATATACGAACTATTATCGAAATGTGCACACTATTTATACATATTATTATAATATCTTATGATTCTAACCGACGCGCGAATAATACGGCGCGTTATCATAACTCGTAAATCATATACCGATAAAAACATAATATACTCGTTTTTTAATGATAATATCGTGTAGTAGGTACAATACGAACTGTTACGATACCGCGGTTTCACTTTCGCCGATTTCCGAAGCGGGCTTCGGTCGGCGGTGATCGAGTACGCAGATCACAATCGCGAATCACTGGATCACTGCATAATATATATATATTATAAACCTCTGTATGGTAGACAGCCACGGAGAATTAAAAAATGTCCATTATAGGGAATTATCTACTATTGAGAAAACCTTTACACGGTGGACATTTGTGAGAAATTACTAAATGTCCACATTGTCCACTATAGGGAGACGCGACGCTGTAGAGAATCGGTTATACTTTTTTTTTTTTTTTTTTTTTTTTTTTTATCCGTAGATTGATTCAATGATGAAATATTCTTCCCCGCAGGCTTCCCTTCGGGTTTTCCCTCAATTATAGTCGTTATACATAAACATGAAATCGGTATGTATTGAAATATTGATTTATTATTTATTATATACCTATGTAATATGTATGTAGTAAAAAATGGATATAAAAATGTTTATAAAAATTTTAACGTAGGTACGTATTCACACAAAGTGCAATACCTACACAACTGATGACCGAACGCATAATCAAACCATTTGTCATTTTTCGAATAGGAAAACCCCGAAAACCTTAAAGATAAGATAAAATATGAACGAAATGTATAAAAGATAAATATAATATTTTTATGAATTAAAAATTTTCGATATGTATATGTATTATCGTATCCATTTATGAGAGGTAATTTTTAATTGTGGTACCAGTTTTTAGTGTCTACGTTCACTATTAAGAGGTTATAACTCCTGTTATGTGCATACATTTTTTCCCGCGGGGAATTTAAAAGTGTCCACTATTGAGGAGGATCTACTATTGAGAGGTGTCCGTTAATTGAGGTTTCACTGTATATGTTTATTGTTTATAATATTTTACGTGGGTACATATTTTATACATTATTATTATTATTATTATTATATCTATAGATGTACACACATTCGATCCGTTGCAATTTGTCGATCGATAGTCGCCGATAAACGCGTGCTCGTATAATATTATATATAGCCGCAATAATGATAGTGCGCGTGCACACGCGTGTGCATATCGCAGCCGCAACCGCGTAGTTCGTCCCGGGCCCCGTTCTCTACTTGCGGCGGGGCTTGCGTCGATCGCGCGGATATAAGGAAAAAAAAATATAATAGTTTGATGTTTAATATCATTATTACGATACTGTGAATGTACCTGCAGTCTACGTGTGTACTGCAGACGACTGTTTGTGCGAGCTCGCGTTTTTGCCCCGGCCGACCGGTAAACGTGGGAATGTCGATACGGATGAAATCTGCGGTCCCACGGTAGGTCACCTGTTGCCATCGGTCGAGTCATCCGGACGACGACCACCGCAAGTCGTGTGCACCGATACGCCCTGTGCCGCGCGCGCGGTAGGGTTTTGCAACCAGTCACTGTGACACGAAACGAGCGTGTAAAATGTGAGCGGATAAAAAAATAATATTTTTAATCTTTTTATTGTTATTATTATTATTATTATTATTATTATTATTATCGTTGTCGTCGTCTTTGTTGTTATTACCTTTATTTTCCCTTTCGACCGTACAGAGATCAGGTTCTATGTATAATATTCACGTAGGTATTGGATCGTGCCGAACGCACGATTATTGTGAATCCGATATTTCGCAAACTTTCCCCGGGAATTGCTTAATAAACTGAAAACGATGATGACAAATACGATTAGATAAGATTATTTAGTAGAAAAAAATAAAAATAACAAAGTGGTAATTATAAAAAAATTGATCTCTGAAGTAAAAATTATTTTTTCTAGATTGTTTGAATTGAGAATAAATCATATAAATTAAAAAAAAAAATCTAAATATCCCAAATAACTTATCAAGTTAAATTAAAACAAATCTAATATTTTAGGATACACATACACTTTTCATTAGTGGCGCTCAATGTGTATTATTAATTTAAAACTAGCATGCCCACAATTGTAGAATTTAAAATTTTAACCTTTATTAATGTTTATACTTTATTTGATATTCATAAAATTACCTATATCTTGGTGTAAATTAAAAAAAAAACAACAATATAATGTTTGTCTAATACTTTATTTATGAATATAGTATTATCTATACAGTATTATTTATATTTTTTATTTGCATAATGTTTTATTTTTATTTATTATCATAATTTAACCAATTTATTGTCAATATGTCATAATTTATGATTTTCAATGCCCAGTTTTGGATCTATACATATCAAACATTAAACGATATATGGTTGCGCTATGTAATATGTAGGTACATATGATATATACGAAATAAATGATAAATATAACATTAAAGAAAGTATTAACTTTGATTTATGAATCCATAATTATAGTTAATTACAACATTTTATTATACACAAAATAGCTCTATAAAATACGCTGATGTTATAAGAAAATCAAAAACAAGCAGCAATACAAGTTTACTATGAATTATTATAATAGCTTTTTTAAATATAAATTTATTTCATTATTTACATATTAGTCTTAAAAACCACATACAACACTTATTTTCTAAAGACATATTATAATGTGGATTTTATAACAGATATTTTACTTAGATTAAATAACGTTTATAATCCATAAGTGTAAGTACCTATTGTTTTTTTGTATTATTATAGCTGTTTTTTGTTATTTTCTGAAATGAATAGGAAACGTTAGCATGTACACATAAAAGCTACTTCACCCCCATAACGTCCATAAAATTTCAGTAAACAATGAAAATAATTCGGTTATAAAAATTTAATATACTTAAATATGATATAAATTGTTGATAAAACGCGCTATAGTATTAAAATAATAATATAATATTTAAAAATAATTCTAGTTGTATATAGAAATCAAAATACATAATATTTTCTATGATTGGCATTAAGTTTGACTTAGAAATCATTTTGAAAAAAACAAACTCAATGGACAGATGGTACGGCTTATATTTTTACATACAGACATGAAAACACTATTATATAGAGTGGTAAAGACATGTACCTACTTACTACTTAGGTATTCGATTTTATATTTTATAATACACTGATACTTAAATGGTTCATTAGACTTTAAAAGAATTATGTATTCTTGAGAAATATATTTAAGCAAGTAAATTACGTGTATTACACAGTCTATAATAGAGCGCTATTGTTTAATTTAAAATGTCTAACTACTATGGCACTATTATTACAATATAAAGTTAACACACTTCAAGACAGCTGCCGCGATACATATTAAAATAAAATACTCACAAATACTCACGATTTAAATTATTTATATTATGTTAGTACGTAGGTATAAGCAATCAATTAAATCGGTACGTATTTAAAGAATTATGTTTTAGTTTTAAGATAAAAAAAACTTTAAATTTTGTATTATTAAAAAATAAAATAATTCTATATGCATTTGAAACATACCTATATATACGAAATTAAATTATCTGTAATGTTCCTGATTATTATTATCGACTCATATTTTATTAAGGTATTTATTTACCTGAATACATATTTTTAACTATAAATTGCAAAATATATTTTCGTTTGTTAAAACTATTTACCATTTGTGTTCAAGTATGAAAATAATTTGCTTATATTATGAAGTAAGTCTTAAGTATATACCTATTTATAAACTCCATTTAATATTGAAGAAACAGTTATGAATTTATATATACAATAGGTATTCGTGGTTTATTATAAGACGTGTGATCATTACATTTTGGATGTTGCAAGTTAAAGTATTTAAGCGAAAATATAAGTAAACTCATTATTCGCAATAAAATACAGCATTACTCGCACACATTCATATTGTGTAATGTGAATTAAATAAAATAAATAATTTTTTTCACAATGTTATAAAAATGTATATAGTTAAATCGTTAATTTATTATGACTATTTGTTCTAAAAAAATATTGTACGAAACGTCATATAGTTTATTGGATTTGCTTTTAAATTAAATTTGTCATGTCCAAAACCAAGATAACAAGCTTAAATATTATAATACAATGTCCACAACTTTGAAAATAAAAGTATATGCCCACGATATGTTGATATAAGTATATAATTTATTTGATTAAACCTTCCTGCTCTTAGTGAAAAAAAATTTAAAAAAAATAATGTGTGGACTAAGACGCGATTGTTATAATAGTAAAATCGACGGAGCAGCTGCACCCGTGTATACGCAAAACATGTAATATCATGGCTAAAAAGGGTGAGGGCCTTACTTTACATTGCAGTGTGACGGTATGTGAGAAAACGATCAGACTACGGTTCCCACCTATAAAAATGTCGCAACAGTCAAAATACAAACGCGAACAAGAGGCAAAACTGACCCTTAGCAAGCGATGACCCCTTCACTTTTTACACATATGTTTGGCTTTAGAATAATATAAAAAGGGTTTACACCACAGCTTCTTCATTTTACAAAACTTTATTTCGTATTGGTTAAGCAAAATAATACCTATATAGCTATGCACAATCTAAGTAATATTATAATTTATAAATATGTTTAAATTAATAAAACTTTTTTTTTTTTTTTTAATGTGCTTTATTCTCAGGTATAAAAATAATATGATTAAAAAAAAAAATATTAACGTCTCTTCTCTTTACATTCTCGTTCTATGACAGTTTGTTCATATGAGCTCTAGTCACGAAGCATACAATTGATATTAAGTGAAAACCAATGTACAGCCAAATCATGGTATAAATGTGCGGTATCAGATTAGTTACTTTAAATTCATATTTATCCAAAACTTCACTGCCATCCATCAAACACGGTACATCTGGATCTTCACTGCATGCTAAAGTTATTATGCATAATTTAATTAAAGATTTATTTGTGCGTTTAACAATTAACAAAGAAAAATTTAATCATATTTTAGACATATCATAATTTACCAATGTAAGTCACGTTTTGCCAGTGAAGGATAGTAAGCGCTTCAAATCCAAGTTCAAACCATGATATCTTAACTACCCAATGCAGAAACCATGGTACACTCCTAAAAATAATTATTGTTACAAAATATTAGAATATACATTTTAAAAATTCAAATAAAATATGTCTACCAAATTGTAATCAATAAGAGAATATTATCCAATGTAAAATTATGTCTATATTATATCAAAAAACATAATTATTATTATATTGTCATTCTTTGTTTTTAAGCCTCACTATAAGTAGTTAATAGTGTAATATTAAATTGATTAAAAAACTTAAAATCTTTTACTATAAACATTTTTTTATACTGACACTTTTTGCGATTTAAAAATAAATGTGATCGTTTTAGTTATTTAATTAATCTACTTTCCTTTTACGGAATAAAATTGCTATTTTTCATAATATATTTAATTCAAAACTTAAATATCAAAAAATATTTTAAAATGTTACATTAAATTTTCTTTAAAATATCATTATATAGACCTGAGGTTCACAAATATTCCGGATAACATCATGATAACATTGTCGAACGGCTGGACAAATGTTAACGCCAGCGACAAAGACCCAAAAATGTTGTTGAACATGTAACCTATATAAAACAAACAAAAATCTATGGTAATTAAATTTTAAGTAGGCACCTATATAATATGTTATATACTGACGTTATAATTATATTTATATATGTATAAATACATAAATATGTATGTGTGTTTGTGTGTATCATTATGTATTTATGACATTATGACATACATAGAGAGTAATATTTTCAATATATATTATATATACTATACGTGAATACGGACCACAAGAAGTGGACACGGCCATTACCAGAATCGTGATGATTACCGTGAGAAAATATCCATACAGATCGGTTTGCATACCGACCATGCAGTAAACGATTGTCGTGTACACCGTGGGCTCGATGATCAACGTGGGGATCTGTACGTGGGGGCCATTGGACAGGACAAAAAAAAAATGAAAAGAAAAATGTACTAACCGTAATAATAATAATAATTAGTATTTATAAATAACACGTCGTAATATTATCGTTGCCGCACATTATCTGCTCGATCAACGTACCTTTAATAAAACGGTTGGTGGACAAGATACTTACGAAGGACAGTATGTTGGCGATGTAGAAGGTCGGGGCATCGTAAAGGCCCGAAGTGTACTCTCTCCTGAACAGGGGCAGTTGAGTGGGCAATTGATTCATTACCGAGTACATGGGCGTGAAGAAGTTTTCTGTGATCAGCATAAAAAATATGCCCTGTACCGATTGTATGCCGACTTGAGTTTGTTGAACTGTACCCAAGTAACAAAGGCCAACCATAACGGCTATCGCCTGTAAGGAACAAAATAGTTAAGTCAAAATCATTGTACTTATTTATAGAAGTACATTTAAATGAGACTGAATTAATTTTTTAATTTATAAATATGTTAAATGAATATAGAAAAATAAAATTTTTAAATTGAAAGTTACTTTTTAACATGTAAAGAATACAAGTTAAATAGAAAAAAAAGTAATTTAACTTAGACTTTTTAACTCACTAATGCCCAACTCTACATTTAATTACAAGAATTTTATTAATTTATTATAAATCAGTTGTGTTCGTCACATAATACCCATATTATACCTTTTTATATCCTTTATTTTAAAATATTGGTGAAAATAACATTACTAAGTTTGATATTATCTGAAGAAAAATTTAAGTAAGTAATGAAACCAATAGCTAAATGACAACTAACATATCCAAGATTTTTAATTTTTATCATATTTCGTTTAAAATATTTTAAATTCAATATATAGATGGGAAAAAAAAATAAATTTATAAATTACTTACCTATACAATCTTTAAATTATTTTATTTTCAATTAACTGAAATAGTATATTACGAGAATTATAAGGTGAAAAAAAAATAAAAAAAAATAAGATAGGTAACCACTCTGCTGTACAATAAAAATCGAATGTATCTCATCATCATTTATCAGGTATTGTAATAGAAATAATACACCATTGTATACAATGTAAAAATGATCTAAATGTTTGATAAACAAGGCTATCAAATAATTGTTTTGATAATAATATTAAAATTATTTAAACAAAATTCGAATTTTTTTTTTCCCCAATTATTTAAAAAAATTCTATGAAATTTTCATTTTGATCTCTCAAAGTACTAACGATATTCAATTTGTTAAAAAAATATCTTCATCAAAGTTGATAGTCAAAATAATTCGTCCACTATAGAAAACACGTCAAAATAAAATTGATAAATTTATTTATTAGCCTATAATTTAAAAAAAAAAACAATAAACGTAAAATCTATTTTCATCTTAGTTAAATAAAAAAATTTTTTAGAATTATTTTATGTAGAATCAAAAAGCTATGAATAATATCTATTATTTAAATTATAATTTTTTTTTTTTTAATAATTAAAAAATAAACATCTACATTTTGCAAAATAAAATTTGTTTTAATTTCATAGTTTTTAAAAATCATGTAGAGGTAATATATACAATATTTAACTAATTATTATTTTCATAATTAAATACTAATGTGCGTTATTATGGAATTAAATGACACAACCGTATATACGCGACGTTAAGCTAGGGTTAAAATTATATATTATTATATTCTTCAATTCATAATTTCTCGTACTGAAACGATTGTTATTAGTTATTACTAAATATTTATTATGTATAATTATATATATATATATATTATATACAATTATGTAAAATACGCAAAGACGATTGCGTTTTTTTAAACGTTGGTGAAATAACGAGATCCATATATAAATAGAAAGAGAGAAAAAGATTTAGTGAAATCGAGGAAAATCATACGACGTGTGTTTCCCACGCTTTACGTATCTACTTATAATATATAGGTATTAGAGTAGATATCGTGTTAAATATATTATATATAAAATACCTATTTATAATATTATATACGTATGTATGTGTGTACGGTTACGACCAAAGTGGTATTATATCGTCTGTCGGAACCCACATCGTCACGCAGCCACGTATTTCGAAAGAAAAAACAGAAATTATAAACTGACGACTACGTCTCCAACACGTAAACTATAACGCGAGCACCTAGACGAATGAGCGCGTGCTAGGCACACGTGGGAGATTAAACATAATAATAATACAAACGCGTTTGTTTCATACATAATATAATAATAATACAGTAGAAATCGTTTATAATGACGTTTAAGAGGATTAAGAAAAAAGATCTAGAATTTAAAACAATTTATTATTTTTGTTTGTAACGTGTTTTTTGTAAAAATTGTTAATATTATTCCTTATCTTGAAATTTTTGCGTTGAAAATATAGACCAAATATTGTGTGGTTAATATAGATATGCTAATTGTTTAAATGAATTAAGAATTAATATTATTAAATCCGTATACTTATTAAAAGAACTTCATAACAACCGATACAAATTAAGTATGATAATATTATACAACACATGAGTTTTGACGAGACCTTTAGCTTTAGGTCATTAAAACCGAAATCTCACTATGATCGACAATATAATGAAGTATAAAATATGATATAAGTATTATACGAGTATAAATATATATAACTGTTGAATATTGATGTTCATAAACACGTGTTATTATATGAAAATATCTGACCACAGCGGTGGCATGTCATTGGGGTCACCCCAGTGCGGTACGCGTCGCACGTGCCTCTGTGGGTATAGTGTCGAAGATAACGTACACAGTGTAAATGTACGCACGTGGACCAGAGAGATGATGGTTAAATTTTTTTTCATCTTATTCTTCAACACGGGGTAGTCCATTTAACATAAGACAGTAAGACACTCATTATTTCAGAAATCACTAGTATTTTTGAAATATTTCTTTTATAAGATATTACATTTTGAATGACTACAAATGTTTTTATTTCATATTATAAAGTAGAAATATTTTATTTTTATAAGTATATTAAGTTTTGATGAGCAGAACAGTAGACTAATATTTTGCAACGTACCCCTGTACCACATTACTCCACCTATCATAAATTTTAAATTTAATTACTAATAAACTACACTCTTATTCGAAGTAATTCAAAAATATTTCATTTTGGAATTAGATTCATGTACGTTATCATTAAAAAGTAAAAAATTTAAAAATAATAATGATAAAAAAATTGTAATCATTTTTTAAAAATGTGTTATTTTTTAAGGACATAATAATAAATATTTTCAAAATCGATTATCTTTTTTGTAATACATAATGTCTTGTGTACCTATATCTGTGTATCGCCCTAAATATTTATTAATATACTATTCAACAAGACAAAAATAAAGGTAAATACCTACTGAATATTATACTATATTAACACACGATCGATTTTCGTACAGGGAAAGGTAATTTTATACTGAATTATTATTTTAATTTATAACTATACTGCATAAATAATTCAATAGGTATTAAAATACCTTATTTTTTAAAATAAATAAAAAACAAACATTCACAGAAGATTAATTATTATTACGAGTAATAACAAATGTGTTGAAAAAATAACATAAGAAGTAGGTTATTAAAATTTATATTATAAAATATGCTTATTTTAAGTTATTTTTATGAAATATGTGTGGTATTAAAACTAAATGACTTTTAATCAAATATTTAGTCTTGATTCCTATTATTAGATAATTTTAATTTTAAATAATAACACAAATGATAAATTTATTGCTATACCTAATTTTTAAAAATTCATTATAAAATTAATTTTAAAAATTTTTCATTTTTCAATAAAAATAATTACAGATTAATTATTACATATATAAAAAATGAATTCATTTAAATCTAATATCTCATAATTTTACTAATACTTCTTATATAAGCTTATTAAATAAAGAAAGCTTGCAGTTTCGATAAATGCATAATGCAATTAACAAGTCTATTCGTAAAAAAATTTAAAAATATCCACATAAAATGTTTCTAAACTTTTAATGCCATTTCAGTCCTATTTAGCTTGTACATTAATCAACGTATACCTATATTTAAAAACTTTTATTCGTCTCTCTATAATTAACAACCAAATATTATATGTATTAGAATATCGTATAAAATACTTACAACTTTTTGCAAAAACCTGTGAATGTCAATAGTGGGGTTGCGGATTTTCTCCAAAAGATATCTTCCTGTCAAATGGTACAGTTTTACTGGCCAAAACGGTGATAAGCTACAAAAAATTACAATAAGGAAAAGTATTAAATAACCATGTAATTTAAGTATAATATAACATGTTATAGTATACGGGAAGATCCATTTAACGTAAGACACTTGTTATATCAGATAACACGAATATTTTTGAAAATTATTTTATTTTATTTAATTTTTAACTCATTATAGAATAAAATTATTGGCAAAAAAAATTTTTTTCTTACTATTTTTTAAGTTATTACTCTTTTAAATCACGACGTACAATTTTAATTTCTTACTTTTAAGCAAAATATTATTCGAAGTATTTTAATCTATCAAAATTAAATTTTGAACAAATAAATTATTAGTTATAAGTAGGTAATTCAAGTTATAATAATTCATTAACTATACTCAGTCAAACTTCGGTTTATAAAAATCGAAGTACTCCAACAAATATTCTGCTTTGGAATAAGCAATTAAAAATGCAAGTTTTAGTTAAAAAATGTAAAATGTAAAGATAAAAATAGTAAACAATATATTACTTTTTAGTAAAATATTATTTTTTAGAAAAAATTATATTTTTAACAATTTAAAATTATGCAATAAATTATTTTCAAAAACATTAAAAAGTTTTGAAATAATGAGTATCTTGAGTTAAATACATCACCTAATATAAGCATAGTTTCCGTTAAAACAATTATTACAACATAGGTATGCGATAAGAAAATAATAATATTATCGTTGACAGAAACGTGTCTTTGTATATAACCATATAGGCAACAGTAATAGCTGTATATAGAGGTATCAGTATTGCTTATATTATCGTTGACGGGACTCGCAAACTATGAGGCTGCAACATGCCTACGTATATTTATGCCTTTAACTGTATGGTAATCTGGTTTCGTACACTTTAACATAATAGATACTTAACTATTATAATACATACATTAAGTATACATGATTATTAGACATTTCTTCTTCGTGCAAACGACACTATTTTATATATTGAACATTTATTCATATATATTATATATAAATAATAATATATGTATTATAATTATTCATTTTACTTTCTACTGCAAAAAAATACAGATATTTTTCATCTCGACGTTTCAAACAATACGCGTATTTTTCTTTTGTTTTTTTCTTATTATCACTATACTACTTTAAATTTTGTTTCAATGTTCACATTTACCGCAACGCATACTTTCATTTTACGACATTTAATTCAAGCGATGCATGAGGTTAAAATTCATAGTTGCTAGATATTGTTAGGTTTAAACAATTCGTGAACAGGATAAGATACAACAACTTGTCATGTTATGTCTTAGAGGTGCTTAAACCTATATTCACGTAGAAAAATTTCCCTACATGTAGGGTTTGGGTAGGGGGGATGTGTGGTTATATATTCCTTTAAGAGTAAGGTTAAATTAGGACCTTATGAAAAATTTAGGTGGTCGAGTTTAGTGTATTATTGCCCTACATATATTTATCTACTTCGGAAATACTGATTATATTATATCAATATGACTTAAAATATTATCAATCTTATGAAAATTTTGTAATAAATTTTAAAATACAATGTATTTAAGGGATCTAAAATAAAAATAACAGTTTTTATAAAATTTGATTTAACATCAAAATCTTTAAGCTGGAGATAAAAATACTATTAAAATGTTTCAATCTAAAAACTTAATTTTAAATTACATTGAAATATTTATTATTATATAACTAAATAGGTAATATAAATGCATTTGATAATTATAGGTTAAAACTTAAAAGTTTAACTCATGATTAACATAATTAGCATTTCAAATCACTCATAACTCATAAGTAACTATCTTAACGTACAAAATGATAAATTACTTAATAACAGCAAATATAAAACTCACTGATTTCGAAGTACAGATAAACTTGATGTATCCTGAAATTAAAAAATTGTGTATAGCTTAAAATATTGGTTAACCAAGCATAAATTTAAAAACAATGTATATTCTTTATAATTAATACTCAGTATTTATATATATAACGATAGTAATAATACTTACATAGTATATTTCATTCGAAATAGCATTTTTTACAATTTCTGCGTGTTTACTAGCTGCAAATTCATCACAAATTGAATTTACAGATTTATTATTATCTGATAATGTTTTCATAATAAAATCTGCTGAGTTATAATTATCGGGACAACGATAACCAATACTAAAGTATAAATAATAATAAATTAATAATCAATATCTTTTAAATATAATTTAAATTTTATAGTAAATTCAATAAAATTGATTGATACAGCAAAAGTGTTTAAATAAATATTAAATTAAAAAATAATTTACATTTTTATAACAATTATAAAAATGCAGAAGATCGCCTTAAAAAATTAAAATAACTTGAACTTTATCAAGAAAGAGATCAAGAAAATACCACAAAACAGAATGGTAGAAAATACTAAGGGGATATGGGAATGTAGTATTTCAAGAAGATAGAATAGTTGAAAAATACCGAATGATAGGTTATTTATATTATTACACTGCAAAAAAAGAAAATGACATATAGGCACAACTCTCTACTTAAGGCTTGTAAATCATTTTTCTTTTAAATAATAATTAATAATCTAATTTTTCACGTAAAAATTATAATCTATGAAAAAAAAATTATTTTGAATAATAGTTTAAATTTTAAAATCCAAACATTTATCACTTGAGTATTATATAAATAAAACTATTATCTATATAAAAAAAAAAATTGTAATTCATAAACACTCCATTGTTGATAATTATAATCGAAATTCACAAATAATTTTACCTCTCAAAAAATGAAATAGCCTTATTGGGCGGTCCTGAATAGGCAATTCTTCCGTCAGTTACTAATATTAACTGATTAAATACATTTAAAATCTCTGTACTGGGCTGGTGAATTACACAGACGACTGTTTTCCTTTCATCAGACACTAATCGTTGCATAATTTTAATAACTTTTTGAGCGCTGTATGAATCTAACCCTAAAACAAAATATTCACATAATCATAATGTATCACTGAAAGATGAAATATAAATCATGTTAATATTATGATATGTTTGTTTTTATTTTTAAAAAATCTTTAAAATAATTTCTCAATATATTTCAACATAAATTTTCTTAAATTATTCATATCTAATTCTGTTTTTTGAACTGGAATTTTTATGCCAGACATTATTTTTTATGACATTTGGGGACTTATTAAACATACACATATTTTATCGATGTTTCATTTAGATTTTACAAACCTATACACAATATTCACAGTAAAAATATATGTGCATTTTATAGAGATGTATGTACAAAATAGTTTTAGGAGGTATCGTTACTTTATGAAAATTAGATTTGAAAAATTATGACAAGTATTTTTTTTTCAATTAACACAATATATCACGTTTTTTTTTAAAAAAAAAACTAAACAATACCTACATACAAAACCTTTTTGATTATAATAGAGTAATATAGACGTTAAAAAAAAAAAAATGAAAATCTTAAAATTGAATTTACACTGAAATTCCATATGGCATATTTATAATAATTAATAACCAAAGTCAGTTAAATTGAAAAAAACGCAATTGCATCATCAAATAAGCATGCTTCAACTTAAAAGTTATTATTTAATAGATATGTATGATCAAAAGTGTAATACTTAACTCGAATAAGTTTAGAATAGATATTGAAATTGGAATAAACGAAGCAGCTATCGTGGTATACATAACCAACGGTACCAATTGTGGTTGCAATTTTCATCTTTACCAAGCGTGGTTTAGAAAATTGCAAAATTGTTGCTAAACTTTACAATGACGATGGAAATTTTTTTAATTATATTTTGATTTTCCAATTCTAAACCCAATAAAATTAAATACTCAATTTAAGTTAGTTCAATTTTGCAATTATTTAACAGAAATTCATATACAAGAAATATCCCCGCCTCTCTATGTAGGTACATATTGTCATCACTAATTATAACAAATTATTTATATGAATAAAATTCTTAAGTAAATTGTTACAGTTTGTATAGTATTTTTGTAGTTGTCATGGTTAGTATAATTTACCCTATCAGTTTTATAGCAATTTATAAAATTTATATATTTATTTTTTTGTCATGGTGTACACGTCGAGTTTTAGGAAAAGGTTTATTTTGTCACAATTGACTATCTCCGATAAAATATAAGTATATATTGAACATCATTACATTGAATTCAAACTATGATGTACCATCGACAAAAGTTTGTATTTAATCTTCACACACCGGGACACTCATTACCGGTTTCTGTAATTTCCGCCGTGTTTTGCACATTATATTTATTTTAATTTCTCAAGCAACGACAAATGGCAATGTATCATTAAAAATTGTTTTCACGATTTAAGGAACCCGCAAGCAACATTTCATTGATACACAGTTGTCTAAAATATTTCGATAATATTCAAGATTCAAGTTTATAGCAAATTATAAATGCTAATTATAAACATTTTATGTATGATATAAAAAATAAAACATATTAAAATATCAATGGAAGAGTCTTAATAATAATCGGCTCGAGAGTTTAATCTAGCTATTTTAATCAAAAATTATATCGATTCAATATATATTAAATGAATGGTGTATTGTCATTATATTTACTATTCTATTATGCAATTGCTATTAATCTTATACGATCAGAGGTACGAGTGTCTGCTTCTATATTAATATAATATTTTAATGAAAACAAAATTATTATGGATTTATATTTAAGAAGTTAATTTTCAAATAATGGACTAAGATACAATGTCTACGGAGTAAGGTCAATCAAATATATTTATTTTTTTATGGTAACGCTCTGCTTTTATAAATAAATTCTAATACATCTATGAAAAAAATTAAAACGATTACCTAAATTTGTTAATTGCTTACCTGTAGTAGGTTCGTCACAGAATAAAAATGATGGGTCGGTAAGGAGCTCAGTTGCAAACGATAAAATTTTTCTCTCGCCTCCCGATAACAATATCTATAATAAAAAATATTTAATAAGTATTATACATAAGTTTATATCATTTTTTATTCTTGTTATATACTTTTCATATTAGTACCTTTCCATTTTCTCCTCCAGTCCCAATTCTAGTATTTGCACATTGACCAAGACCTAATTCTTTAATAACTGCCAGTACACGAGCTTTAAGATTTTTGTCAGTTGTTCTCCTGTCTAGTTTCAATTTAGCCTAAAACAACGTGATTTATAATGAAAATTACATTAAAAATCACTCGATAACTTACCATGAAAGTAAGATGCTCTTTAACGGTTAAAACTCCACAGAATAAGTCTTGTTGGTACATATATCCAAAATTGTGACTTTTAAAATTTCTAACAGAAAGACTTCCTATTTTAACACTTCCTTCAAAATCCATTTGAGCTTTAAAAATATTTAAATGAACCATAATAGCAAAATATACAATACAACTAAGTATACATATTGTTTTAATAATAAAAAATTTTACCTGGAAGTTTATTAGCTAGAGCAGTCATCAAAGTACTTTTTCCTGCACCGCTAAAATTGTATTGATAGTTGTTAAATTAAATTTATATTAAACATAAAACAAATTTTGATTTATACACACCTTGGTCCCATAATGGCAACAAGTGAAGACGGTGGTATATATCCTTCGACTTGAAAAAGAAATAGGATTTGTTAATAATAAACATTAAAACACAAAATTATGATTATAAATTATAATATATCATAAAATTAAGTAAATATATATTGTATAATGTATATTATATAGTGATGTGAACGTAGTCTGTAATTCTGGATAGTCAGAAGACTTAAATGTGTACTTTATATATATATCCTCTTTGTGAATAGATACCTCATAACTACCATTGAAAGTCGAACTCATTAATATAAATATGTATACAAATTTAACATCAATAAATATAATATATTTATTGAATTATTTAAGTATAATACCGAAAAAATGTAATTAAAATAATTTAATAACTTTTAAGTTATAAATTTATAACGAACAAAATATTACTATGTATACATTAACTATTAAATACAGTTATAATAATAATAATCTGCAATTTAAAAATAAATGGTCACCTATTACCTATTGGTATCAATCAAAAATCAGTTAGTGTATTTAAAAAAAATTAAATTACTCTTTTAAATACATAGCATAAGAACGACCATACCCTAACAATCATATATTACTCATATTTAATAATTAATTAATATTACTAGAAGAAAATAGTGTACTAATATCTTTTAACGTTAATATTATTATCGTTAGTAACGATAATATTGGATAAACTTCCTATTAAGTTATCTAATACCAATTTATTAACCAATAAATGAATTTCAATACTTGTGGTATCTTTACGAAATGCGATAAAATAAAATAACATTTAGTTTCTGATATGTTAAAATTGAATATTTTAAATAATTTTACCACAAAATGTTTTTGAAAGGTTATTAATGAATATCTTTGTTGTTTATTTTGTAACATTAATTACCTCAGATAATAAAATTAAAATAGGGTAGCTCAAAAATATAATGTTAAATGTTAAAACTTAAAAAAAATATTAAAATATCTATTTGTGAATTATAAATAATATTCAAATTTTTCGTTGGGTTTTAATGTATTTTATTAAAATACTTTTTATTTGTGTATATAGGTATCTAAAGCCAATTATTTAGTACTATTGTATCTAAAAAATTGCATCAATCTATAATTTACAGTGATAATTGAGAAACTGAGATCATACAATTATGTTATAACATGTACAATAGACGAATATAAGCAAATATAAGCAAATATTTTTCAAATTTTAAAATTCACTTTTAGACTTGAAATAAAATTTAGTACCTAAGTATTATAACTACTACTATATAAACTATTGAAAATTCAAGACTACCTATTACCGCCAAACAAAGCCATTGCGGATGAATTTAAATAAAAGGAACTATTATGTAAGACGTAAGTATATACTATTTTTCTGGCTCTTGGAATATAAATTATTATATGGTACCTACTCAGTAGGTAGGTATACTATAAAAATCTTGCAATATTTAAACTTTAACGCAGGTACGTAAATTGATTCTTACCTTTATTCAACAACAGTTTTTTAGTCGTAATGCTTGAGCGCAACCATCGGTCTTTTTTAATAATTGCGTGTACACTCAAATTTTCCCAATAGATTGGTAAACAGTTTTCATTGTTTTCGCCCTAAAATATCAATGTCTATAAGTCTAATAGAAGTACGTCATTAAATAAAATAACATAAAATATTTTAAATTTACCCCATTGTCTGTGCATAACTGGAAAGTAGAGTCATGATCATCTGATGCATCTGTATTGAAAAATACAGTATGGGTAGATGCCAAATCCATTGTTTTTAAATTTTATTAAAAAAAAAAATTTATCTTTTCGCTACTAAGAACGGCACTACCCGGTGAATTGTGTTTGAACTCTGTCTATATCAATGAATCTACAGTTCATATAAGCCACATAGGTGTTTAGCATGTGAAGCCAAACACAATTAAAAAGTATCGATTGCATTTCTGAATTATATAACAATATAGGTATATTATGTTGCTCAACAAAATAAAAATTTAAAACTAAGAAAGTAAGCTATTAAGCAACCAATTTGCTGTACAGTAGATGTCGAGTGTATCTCCTTATTGATGTGTATGACATTGTAGTGTACCTATCTACGTTAAATTTGATTTTAATAATAAATCATAGCATGTAAAAAAACAATTCTAAGCGAAGACAGTCTAACAGCCTAATTATTATATTATTTAGTAAGTTGTATGATATATTGATATATAGGTATTTTTTTAAAAACTTTTTTGGCTTCAATATGAATCATTATTATGAGTCAACTTGTCAACTAGCTATAAAGATTGAATATTTAAAAAATTAATGACTAAAAATAAATATTAAAATACGTATAATTATATCACAGAATTATTATCTACAAATATTTGTTTTTTTTTCTTTTGTGAAAATTTCAATTTTTATCATAGGTACTGATAACTTTGAAAAGTACTAAGGACGTGGACTCACAAAGTATCAACTAAACTTTATAACTAACCAAAAACTACCATCAAAATTGAAAATTGAAGAATTTTTACTGCTAAAAAAGTTGATGATAGATACAAAAAATAAAAACACAAATCATTGTAAAATCATTACGTTCATCGTTCCGTTCAGAATCTAAAATACGAACTAGAGCAACCGCCAAAATATGTTTTTAACTATAAAAAAAATAATAATATTATTCAAGTCATATCATTATATTTACACTAGAAAAAAAGTATTTATGACAAAGTTTACATGCGCCCGCACACATAGGTACAAATATACAATATACAGGAAGGTAGTAAATCGGGATTGGTAAATTGGGTCCCGGAAAAAAAAGGTTGTAGGTAAGTTGAGTCCCGGATAAAAAAAGGTATTAAGTAAGTTGAGTACCGAAAAAAATATATACATTAAAATGTATGTGGTTTTTATAATATTATGTTCGCAATAAATAATATATGGTATAAATGATTAAAAATTTGTATACCGGAAAAAAAATGTCAATATGTTAAATAATATAGTTGGTACGTCATATTTTACAATATGTGGTATAAATAATATTAAAAATTTTAATAAGCTAAATAATAAAGTACGTCAAATTTTACAATATATGCAATATAACACTGTATGCAATATGACGTATTATTGTAACAATTATTCAAAAGTAAATTATATAAATATGAAATATTAAAGTTTTAAGTTTTTAATGTTTTAGACCCAATTGCGCCAATGATTTATAGCCGGGACCCAACTTACCTATTACCATTTTATATCCGGGACTCATCTTACCGCTTTCAAAACGAACTCAAATTATCGCGGACCCAATTCACCTAGCTCCTAGTAAATATATTAAGTAGGTAGGTTACATAAAAAAACACTATTAGGATACAATCCGTGGACGTAACTTACATTTATCTTCAGATTTGAAAAAAGAAACCGCAAACTTGATTGTTACCTATAATATTTTGTCATTTTAAAACCTAATATTAATATCATCGATTAATCATCATTATTTATCATGAAAATATATAATCCATAACACAATTTTAAATAGGAGGGTACTTGATATGTGGTAGTTGTTTTCGACAAAAGCAATGTAGGTATCAACAATTAAAAAAATTTAAAATTCTACAGGTGCAATACAAAAATTATTTTATTTATAAACCTTTCAAAAACAACACAACATTAAATTCAAGAAACCTTTGAAATTAATTATCTTTTTTTCAAGTAGATTTTAAGCTATATTATCTAAAACGAATTGAAATTTTAGATACTACTAATATCACTACATTACCTATAACCAATAAGTTATTTGTTAAGTTGATGTTTCTGTCTAACTACCTAGTACGTAAGTATAAATATTAGGTTAAAATTTAGGTATTTTTTTTTACTATACCAATTTAACGTTCAGCAGTCTTGAATATTTATTACCTAGTACAATATATATCTAAACATTGTTAAACTGAATGATAACAACATTACTTCAGTATTTACCTATTGTTTATTAGAAGCGTTTTTCTTTTTTCCATGGTTTTTTTAATTTTGAAGTGAGTAATAAGAATTTTTAGTTTGTAGTGTTTTATGAACTTACAAATATTTTAAAATGTACCTATTATATGTTACCTATATTAATATAGGTAGAAACTAGAAATCTATAGATAAAACTTCCTAAAAACCAAAGAAAATGTTAACTGCGGACTAAACTTAAACAAGAATTTTTGAACGTAAATTTTCTAACTAACCTAACCTTTCTCTCCATTTATTATTAATTACTCATACTTTTAAGTAGAGTTTATAAATTATATAGTACAAGTAATTTTGACCTTACTAAAACAAATAAGACACAATTTTAAATATATTGAGTTATAACTAAACTAACATTTTGAACAAACATTTATCAAAAAATGTTTTGAATCTTTAAAAAATATTATTATGTATTAAAAAATTACTTTTAAAGCACAGAATAATTTACTTTTAAGTTCAAATAGGTATAATTTTAATATTTACTATTTTGGTAATTTATAACTACAATATTTTTAATCTGAAGCAATTATAACATGGAAGTCATGCATATTCATTATTTTTTTATTTTACTAAAGAAGTTTTATTTGTACATATTTTTAATATTAAGTTATTATTATAAATTTAAAATGATGCAAAAATTAAAAAAAAAAAGTATTTTGTTTTAAAATTGGTATACATTTAAATCATACACAACACATATATTTACAAATAATAAAAACGGAAAAAAGTTATCACTGAAATAGTTCTTTGAGCACTTAACATTAATTATTTATATTTAAATAAATATTAGTTGAAAACATTTTATAATCAATATGATTAGTTTATCGCTAATATCAAGAAACTTATACTAAAATTACTGAATAAATATAATTAACAATGTATAGTATTATAAAATGTATACTTGAAATTTTTATATTTTCAAAAAAAGTTGTTCTTTTATCTCTAAAGAATTATACAAATTGTTTATTATTAACCTATTCAAACAATATTTTTCAAACTATAATAAGTTTTTCAATAAGTATAACATTTACTCTAAATAACAAAGTTATGAATTTTTTAAATTAAAAAAATGTTACTAAAATAACAGCATTGTCTAGACATTCGATATGATTGTTTATGTGTAATCGTATTTTTATTTATATTGAAAAAAATAATAATTATCTGGTATTCATATATTTAAAATAAAATCTATTAACCAATATAATAACTTTGAGATTTATAATTTACATGTTTAAATCACAATTTGTATAGTGAACTTTAAAGATTTGGTCATAGTTCATCTCCTGTAACTTAAATGGAGTAAGGAAATTTAAGATTATTTATTCATTATTGGCAATGATATTAGCTATTTTTAAAATAGTAAATAAAACTATTATATTTAAATTAGAATATAACACAAATATTTAAGTTGAAAAAGAATACAAATTATATATTATGTACTTAAATGTTTCATAATGAAAATATTTATATTACAAAAACTGAAGTTTTATTATAAAATTAATATTGTATTACCCCATGAAGTAAGTGCACACTAAAAAAAAATTTTGATTTACGTCCAACAATATTTATATTTGAACTTTTGCACAGTTACATTTTAGATGTAAAAAAAAAAAAAAAAATAGTAAATAATAATAAGAAAATTTAAATATTTAAATTATGATCATCTAATAATTATTTCTACAAAATATTATAACTTTATCATAACAAAAAAAAAAAAAAAATTAATAGCCCAATTATCTATTATTTGGGATTGAGTAACTGAATATAATATTAACATTTTAGTTTTACCTTTAAGTTAATCATTATAATATAATATCTGTGTACAATAAAAACAAAATTAATTAGACAGACATTAAATATCTGATCACATTACATTTTGAGTGACAACTGGTACCAATTTTTCTGGAATTAGAGATAGCTAAAAAAAAAAATATAATTATGTTACATAGATGTATATGTATATATTATTTACTATCAGTAAAATAAAATGTAAAAAAAATTCCTAGTCCCACCTCCTCACCATTTAATAATCATTTAGCTCTAATCACCTTTCCACTGTCATCATGACCTTGGTATTTGGGTTTACTGTGAGTGAATGGTAAGTATCTGTATCTGATCATATGCTAAAACATAAAAAATAAAATAACATGAATTATATAATATACGATTATTATATTATTATTTATATACAAACAATAAAAATCACACAAGTTGCTTATTGTTTATTAGATAAAAGATAATGTATAATTTATATTTTTTATACAAAGTTGACTTTATTAATAACATCAGTCATAACAACATAATGGATTAAAACTTCATCAATATCAAGATTCCAACAAAATGTCTAAATTTGTTTAAACAAAATGACAACTGGTTATAATATGCCATCAATTGTAATAAGTAATAACTATATTGGTTTGGTTAATACAACTTAAATATCAGCCCCTATTTAAATATTTGAACTGTACATAATAATTGTATAATTATTTTTACACGTTTTTGTGAAATATTTTATGAGTGTAATTACATATAATATACTTGAATGTATTCTTTAAATAGTTATAGTAATAAATCACAATTTTTTTTAGTTTGTTTATATGTATTTTTTTAACTTTTTGTAAATTTAAATATGTATAAACAAATTTTAAAAAGTTTAAATAAAAAATAATACATATTAACAATAATTATTTTTGAATAAAAAATACTTAGTTATTAATCATTTTTATCATATATGCTTAATTTGATTATATATCTATAAAAAATTGAGTAAAACGACTTTAGATTATAACAGTGTATTCTTAATAGCCCCTTGACCAATGTTATAGATTATATTAGCTACACTTGTATCTATATTCAACACTTCTATCAAATTATTTATATATAATTAAGTATAAGGATGCCAAATACAAAATCATTTTCAACATGAATAGTAAATATTCAATGAAAAATACAAAATATTACATATCCTAAAAGTTGTATTAAAGTATGTTTATTAAATAATATAGAGAAATTAGTGTTAAGATTAAATAAATAATTAACTTTAAATAAAATATCTGAAAGAATTAATAACTTATTAGTTATACTATAAATATATACTATTTTAGCATTAAGTTATCAAGGAATACTAATTATACTATTTAATAAAATGTAATAACAAGTAAACTTAATAAGAAAAAAATTGTATCTACATAAATATGTTGAGGGTCACTAGTTTATTTGATCCTCATAATATAAGACAAGAGTATAGTATTTAATTTTAAAATATTTTACTTTATATTTTACTATTTCTTACCATTATTTGACGTTTCATTGTTATACAAAATAGAACAATAAAGTATAAGACAAGAATAGGCCAAAATACAGGAACGTCAAAGAATTGGAAAAATGTCAAAAATATTGACAGTAATGTAGATTTTATTACCGAGTACCAAAATTTAAATTCAGGTAGTCGGCGAATAAATGGTCTAAATTCTTCATTTGCTCGTGTTGGCAACGATGGGCCAGAATCATCTAAATTAACATACAATTTTTTAATTGTTTTAATATATTGCTATTGTTTTTTTAATAACTAATAAAAATCTAACAATAAAAGATTACCTTCAAACTCATCCATGGCTGGATCTATTTTTGGTGTAAGGAATGCAATGAATAAATTTAAATGGTATATACCCAGTGCGTACGTAATTATGTACCATCCCTAAAAAATATAATTAATAAAATTTCAATAAATTATTAAATAAGCAAAAATAATATAGGTTAAATGAAATATTAAATTCTCAATCTCCTAAACAAGCAAATTTCATAATAACATATAATTGTACAACTTATCTCAGAAGAAATATAATAAAAATTAATTTTAGTATTAAACCTTCCAACAGCAGATATATTTTTATAACAAAAATTTTCAATCTAAATAAATATAAATAAAAATATTTTAGCGTTTGTGCATAAAAAATTAATTAAAATTTCAATATTACCTGAAGCATTATTATTCTTATCATAAATAGAAGAATAAATACAAGTGCTCCTATCCATCTGGCTGTTCGAAATGGTGTGATGTCATCGAGAAATTTTTGAAGTTTCTATAAAAGCAATATCAATTAAATATTAATATTATTTATTAAAATGCATATACCATTAATTTTCATAAGTATAAAAATGATTAAAGATTAAATTAATAAAGAAAAAATCAACATGACCAAGACTATTGTTTAAAACTAAAAAATATTTATAATTTAAATAATTATCATCTATGTACTATATTTTGCAATAAAATACTTAAAAATTAAAAAAAAAATGGGTATTTTTGTCGTATGTGGTCTACCGCACATTTGTCATCTACCACACATGTTCCTCTATATAATATGCAGTCTACCACACGTCCATACACTTTTTATCTACTAATAATAACTTTCAACGATTTGACGGCAATGACGATTAAGTTTTTATCTTAACGATGTGATTTCTGTATCAATAATAAAATACCTGCTATAATAAAACTTAGGTCCTGCCAAAATTGTGATTGTAGTCGTAAACGTATAAGATATCAGTTCAGTTTGTCTTGTAATACCTACGTGATCCGTTATTCTTCAGTTTATTTACTGCACTTTTTAACATTATGTTAGCCAAACATTACGTAGATATAAAAAGTATGTTATAGACTGCATATGACACAGTGGCGTAACTGAGTGCCCGCAAACCCCGCACTGCGGGGGAGAACATAGTAATTTGGGGCCTTTGGTTATAGGGTTATATTTGGTATAACAATATTTTAGGGGCCCATTTTTTATTTTAGCGAGAGAGCCCAAATTTTTTTGCTACGCCACTAATATGACGTATAAAAACGGGTGGTAGACCGCATATGACATGTAGAAACGTGAGGTAGACCGCATACGACAAGAATACCAAAAAATGTTTTATTGAATAGTCTAATATTAAGTTGTAAAATTTATCGAAATTTCATAAAATGTAAAAATCTAGTCTAGTACCAATACTACTTTTTTTTAATGAATGTATTTTTTGAAACTGAGAATAATAGTTAAATCAGAATTAGCTGGACATACTTAATTTAAAAATATAACAATTTGAAATATAAGGTTAGATACATGTTTTTACACTAAGGTAAAAAAGACTACCAGAATGTAAATTTTCATTAAATTTCCAATTGAATCCTATGCCACTTTTTAGGAAAAAAATATAAAAATCGTTATTTCTTAAAATGTGTGTTTTATAAAAGATGAATCCAAAAATATAATTATTTGTTATTTTATACAACTAAAGTGCACTTAAATTGTAATAAAATAAAAGTTAAATTATAATTACAGAATATCATAACCAAGATCAAAAATTCTAATCATAAATATTATTTAAAAATCAAATTTTATTTTTTGGTTCTGGTCTTAAGTATGTCACAAGATAGCAAGTAAATGACAAAATATTAGTATACTAAATAAAATGTTTTTTATCTAATAATGTAATCATTTCAATAGGTACTTGACAATATTTATTATTTGTTTATAAAGAAATGTTTAATTTAGGGAAACTAGACACAACAAAAAGGTTTCCAATATATTTTTTTTTTAAGCTTGCTTTATGGATAAGGAGTTTACATTAATCTTAAATAATCAAATTTATTAACTTTAAATCTTGATAGATTGTATTCTATAATTTATATTTACTATGTGATAAAAAAATGTTATTATATTATATAATATTAATCACCTGAGATAAACGAAGAAAAGCCAATGAAACTGTGCTTTGCTGAGTATTAGAATCACTTGTAAAGTCTTGCATTTTAGACTAGAAGCTCAATTCAAGTTTAGAATTTCTGCAACAAAAATAAATAAAATTTAAATAATTGAAAAATATATATTATAAATAAGTATGTAGCTAGAAGTAAATAATTTAAATTGAACTAAAAATTATTTTACAACACAATATAAAAAATTAATTTTATTCAAAATAATTTTTTTAATAGCTGCTTGTAAATATAATAATATAATTTCATAATTTGATTGTAATACATTTAGATCAAAATCAGTGATACTATTACTTACATAAATAAAAAAAGGAATAGATGGGATTTTCCAATACTTATTGCAGTTAATGCTCAAAAATCAAAGTTGTAGCCAACAGAAATGAATTATCAACTACTATGGTTGTTACTTACTATATTAACAACTTTTTTGTTTTGCCAACATGCCTCTGCTTATTATTTTATTAAGTAATTGTTAACTAATGAATAACAATGTTTCAAATATAAAACAACATAAAATAATGAATTAATGATACACTCTAATACTTCATGCAAGAAAGAGAAAAAATATGCATCCAAGATATATATTTTTTCATTTTTTTTTTTAATGTTTATAACATTATTTAAATCTAGCCATAAAAATGTAAGTAGTAGGCAGGACTTATAATTTGATGAATATATCATAGGTATATATATATTTTAAAAGTTTAACAGTTATTAAAAATTAAATATTTAAGAATCAATAAATTAAAAAACCTAAATATATTGAATAAAATTTGATCAACTTTTATTATTATATTATCATTTTTAAATATTAACAGTAATATTTTGTTTAATAATAAGTTATGAATAACTCTTCAAAAAAAAAAAAAAAAAAATGAACCTAATTGAGCTATACTATTTTTTTTTATTGTAGGTAATACATAACTATAATTATTAAGAAGTATTTTTAAAAACTTTCTCGGTTACATTTATACATAACGTTGAAAAAAAAAAAATTATTACCTAATTAAATAGTTATCGAATAAATATCTATAGTTCATTTATTATTATAAAATATTTTTGAATTTTAATATTTTATTTTGATAAGTTATTCTTTAGGGTTGAAAATTTTTTTTTGGTTCTTTCTCAGTGAAATTTTCTTGGGATTTTTAATTAGATTACCGAATATTAACTATTAAGAGCTCACTCAAATGAACGTGTACTAATGCTTATACATATTTCAGTACTCTACAATATATTGCATATTGATGAAGATCGCCGTCAATTTAAAAAGTCATAATCGTACATAAATCATACTCACATTTACTGTGTAATGGTTATATCCTCACGTTCATTTAATGCGAGCATTGAATTTCCGTTTTTGTTAGGAAAACCATCATACCGGTGCCGACAATTGAATACACAAATCAACAAATGCTTCCAATAATTATTTGAACATGCCTGGTGAAGGAGCGGTAAACCAGTGTCCCAATGTTCACAATTAAACGTATAATTCACTCAGGACAACGTGATATTCATGTATACATATATAATTATGATTAAAACTGTATCGTAATTAATAATTAAGAACCAATTTATCAGATTACTACTACGATCAGTGCCCAGTGGCAATCGCCAGTCGGCAAGAATGAAGAAATTAGTATTAGTTTGGGGCTGTTCGTCAATCGTCACTGATAACATGATAATATTCCGGTTGCGTGGACTGTTGTGAGTGCACACAACCACTGAACGAGTGACAGCTGGCGCGTAATTTACTCCATGAAATAATTTTAATTGTAAATGGCGGTAATAAAAATTAATTTTATATTTTTATATCTGTTTACATTAATAATATATTTGAACATACAGTAATAACCCGGTAGCATTTGAATTTATGTGTTAGTGGAAACAATTAAAATTGACAAAAATATCAAACCTCTCTTTTGCTCTAACAATTTTGCCTACAATACATTATTATGTTTATTATTTATTAAATACATAAATTACTAATAATAATTTTTAATATAATATAATTTATAATAATGTCCACTCTAAAGTAGAAAAATAGGTAGGCATCAAATAAAACATAAAGCCATCTACATCAAAATCATTTCAATAAAGTAAAAAAAAAATAGGTACTGTTAAAACTAACATTTTGTGATTACATTTCAATTATTTCCTAGATCTTAAGAGCAAAAACTATTAGTACCCCCTCCCCCTGACCAGTTTAATAAATATTTTAATCGTATAATTATGTTATGAAATTATGTCGAGGAAAATTAGTATTAAAATATGGGTATAGAATGTTTTCTAACATTATTTATGTATTGTTAATAATTCATAAATAGTACTTTATAGTAATTACGTAGCAAGAATTTAAAAATGGAGGTGAGGACCAAATCCAAAATTCAACGAATTTTTCATACTTATAAAATAAACTATGTACATAATTACATTAAAATGTTGATACGGCCGATAGGGGGGCATGGCTCACTGCTCCCCTTCATCCATGTCTACGCCACTACCCTATAGGTATATCGCATTGTAAATTTGTAATACACCATAGTCCATAATTGAATACTATTTGCTTCAAGTCATTACATATTTTTAATTTTAATATGTATCTAATTAATTGATTTTCTTGTTCTATTTGACAACAGTTACTTCACAATATACTTTATTATACTATTAAATTGAATTAATATTTTTTTACCTAACCTGTCTAGCTATAACCTTAAAATAGTAGCAATATATTAAGCAACAGAGGTAGTATATAGGAATTTATTTAGGTAACTTTATAATTATCATGACATTTAAAATGGTAGGTACATCTGTATTATGACTCAAAATATATACATTTAATATATATTATACTATAAATGTTCTTATTATTAAATTATAAATAGAAAATAAAATTAAAGGTACCAATTACCTATAACTAGGATACACAGTCATGGAGTGAAATAGTTAAATGTAATATTGTATATTTTAGTTATTCTTGTGAAATGATTCATGATTCATGATTCAATGAATATTCTTGTGTGATGGAAGCTAGGAACGACACGAAATAAATTGTTTTTAATTATCTTGCTAAGTTTTAACTGGATATAATCCCTGACATTTTAATAATTAAAATATAATGATACAAAAAATACAGTGTACAGTAGAGCCTCGATAGTCCGGACATCTGATAATCCAATGAAGGTTAGGTAATCAAGACGGCATAAGTCCATTTGTTCGTAAACACATTTGTAGTTTGTTTGGAATTAAAAGTATTATTCAGAAAAAAAATTACTGACTAATATATTATTAAGTTCTATTGTTATATACATTTTTTTGTAATTCATTATGTTAAAGTTATTTTTTGTTTTTGTAATTTAAAGTGCAATAAATATAAAGATGGTGGAATTAAAAATAAAAATCCTAGTCATTTGAGTAGGTAATTTTTAAAACCCTCCGGTAATTCAGACTATGCTCGGTTTGAATTTGTCCGGACTATCAAACCTCTACTGTATTAAACGTCAGTCGGTTGTCAGCTGATACGCTTCAGAGTGTTCCCTATGTGTTTTTGTTTCGTTTATCGTTTTGTTATTTATAAATTTATACTTCAGTCGTTTTTAAACATATCACTATAATGTCGTTAAGTAAACCTACTCAAGGTTACACTTTGTGTAATAGAAAAACTCAAAAAAGGAGCGTCTGTGTCAAGCATTTATGCGCAATATTGTATTGCCAAACAAATCGTCTTAGACATAAGAAAGTAAAAAGATGTCTTATATTATAAGACAATTTATTCTGAAATTTAATGTAAAAAAAGAAACAAGTGTTGTTAAAAGAATGCGATTGTCATTAAATCGATCCCTTGATGATACAGTTTACAAATGGTTTTGTCAATTTCGTTCTTTTGGATTGGCAGTCCATGGAGAGGAAATTTAAGCTTCATCGGTTAGATTAACTAAATAGTTGAACATAAATTACTTTAAAGTCAGTTTTGGATGGCTATTTAGATTCATAAGGCGTCACAACATAAAAAATAAAAAAATATATGGTGAAAGTCTCAGTACCAACATTGAAGATATTGAGCTATTCAGAAAAAAATTGAATAATATATTAAAAGCTAAAAATATACTGCCTTCGTAACTATACAGTTATGAGGAAACAGGGTTTGGAGAGCATTACCAGATAGTAACCAAGCATCCAAAGCTAAAAAAAACTCATCTGGTAGGAAGAGCAATAAATATCGAGTTACTGTATTGCTAATACTAATAGAAGTCATGTAAAGCCTGTGGTTTTAGGAAAAAGTAAAAATCCACGCGCAATAAAAATATTATGGACACGTTACCAATTCACTACTACATCTCGAAAAGTGCATGGTTCACTTCAGACATCTCAATAGATTAGTTTCACAAAAAAGCAATGTCATAAATTAGAAGATATCAAACAGAAATTTTGAAAATTCCTGACAATAAAGTGAAGGCCTTAGTTTTACTGAACATTTGTCCAGCTTATCTACAAATTAAACAGCTTATTAGTGAAGATAATCAAATCACGTGCATGTTTTTGTCAGCAAACACAACCTCTTTAATTCAGCCTATGGATCAAGGCATCATATACATAGCCAAACGTTTAAACAAAAAAAGCTTTTAAATGAAATTTTGAAAATTGAGGAACCAGCTGCAGGAGAAAAAGATAGAAAAGATTATAAAATGTTACAGAATCTCAAAGATTACAAAATCAGATCCATGATTTACAATTTCGCATCTGCTATCAAAAATCTACAACCTTCAACTTTGATTAACTCATGGAAAATTATTTTGATAATTGAAAAGGTTGAACCAGATATGGCTGAATTGGAAACAACATTTTCTTCCAAGGAAGTGAAAATTCAGTTAAGACATTTATTTGTGGCTAGAAGCAGATGAATATAATCTAGGTTATTATATTTTAACAGAGGATAAGATTGTTGAAAGTGTGATCGCTGCAGAAAGCTCTGAAACGAATTAATATGATCAGGATGAAGCAGACGATAATATCAACCCTAAGCCAAAACTTGGTGAAACTAAAGATCATCCAAACATTGTCATTAAATAAGTTGAAGATGACAACCATGAAAACATACCTGCGTATTATGAACGTCTGAGACATATTCGCGAGTTAATCATTAAACAATTAATGTGAAAGGAAGACAACCAAAGATTAGCAGTTTTCTCAAATCAGTAAGCGTGTCAAGTGTGAATAATGAAAGTGTGTCTTAATACAATATGTATGTATATTTAATGGTTATAATACAATTATGTATTATGTTTAGGTTTAATATTGTTAGATGTGTATATTAGATTAAAGTTTGTACAATAAAATGTCCAATAAAATATTTTCTTAAATTTATAATTTACAAATTTTGGTTGTTAAAGATAATCCGGATTTTCATTAAATCGGACAACCTAAACCCCAATTAATTCGGATTAATGATATATTATTGTATTATTATATGCGTGTTAATATTATATAAAAGGTGTCCATCATTACCATAATATTCACAATTAATAGATAATTTTTAGATAGGTACAGCAGCCAACAAGTATTAAAAATAAATAATATACTTTATATAATTAGACATAACATTGCAGATATATATAGCACCTACAAATCCCCAAATATTAAGTGAAATTGAAAAAAAATATATACAATTGAATTGCTTTCAAATTCAAGCTCGTACTCTAGACCATTGACTGCTAGTGGTCCGATGAAAGTCGAGATGCGTATTTTCAAACCGCAGTTCTTGAAATTGTGAATAATGTATGATTTCCTACACTATGACTCGCCGTAAACGTAATCGAAATAAATGTAATAGACAATGAACAGAATCAAAACGGAAACCGGCAACAACTGCAGTGGTTACATTGTAGCAGTATACCTAATAGAACTGTTAAACATTCTAAATTCTAATTCAGAAGTGTCTGCTGTATGGGTATGCTTCATTTTGTATGAGCAAATCAGATCTGGCATGTATTATATGTTTTATTAATTAAAATATAATAATGAATAATACGACAAATGATTAAACTATTAAAAAAAAAAAATAACTGTGACTAATGCAAAGAGGTAGGTTAGGTTAGGCTCAATCACTAAACATTTCAAACTGTGCCATAAATTGCATGATTTAATGCTCCGTGATTGGTCTAAAATATATAAATAAGGAACTGAAACAAAGGTATAAGGTAGATTAATTGTGCTTATCTAGCATGTTATAAAAAATAGAAAAATATAACATTACGCTTGTATAAAGTATAGGTATAATTTATTCATTACCAATAAACGATGTTTATTTAAAACAACACGATATGAAAAACACAAAAAAAAAAAAGTTTTGGGTAGTTATAGGTTACTTATTTACTAATTTATCACAACATTATGAATATATCGTATACAGTTGCCCAGAGACCAAAGAGATAGCGAATTATTTATATAATATGTAAATGGTAGATCAATATAAATTTTGTCCGGGTACAAAGTGTTATTAATTCTTATTTATTAATGATGGTTTTGACCGAGTTTACTAAAATAATTTTTAAAAGAAAGTTAATTTAAATTTTTGATAAATATTTATCAAATTCATATATCTAATATACAATACATCCACTTTGGTCTTAAGGCATCTAATTATACGTACAATAGCATAGTCTTTAGAAAATATTTAAACTAAATGAAACAAAAAACAATATTTTTTACTTAAAAAATAATAATAATAAATTGTGGCTTTTGTAATCATAATATTGTATGCATTAATTTACTCACTCTCGTGTAAATAATAATATATGTATTATGTATAAAATACCTTAATATTAAATCAAACAATAAATTAACAATATTCATTTGGCAAATAGTAAATTTTAGACCTTTTTTTTAACGTCTAAAGTATTGAAAATCACGTATAAAAACTATATACTTATATTGCACTCGTATTTTGGTAATCTAAAGTAAGTATATTGGTAATCAGTAAAATGTTATAATTAAAATAATAAATAAAGAGTATAATAAAAACACAAAATTAATTGAAAAGTATCTATATAAATGGTTCGATATTTTAACAAGCTAGGTAAAAATCAGTACACAGTTTAATTATTGTATTACATAGGTATACTACATATTACTGTACTGTACACATGTATAAATTTTATAGACAAATGTATAAAAAATAGTTCAATTAAATACTTATAGTCTATATATAAACATTTTGCATTTATTTTATATTTAATTTCTACTTAGTTATATACGTCACCATTTATACTTTGATATTGCACTATTTAAATATAATATTATGGTACACAATCAATAACGCTAATAATGATAATAATAGGTAATATTATGTAGATATAAAATTTTGATGTTTCGTTCTATAGGCAGTACATCGTAAATGTCATAATCTTAAAACTAAAAATACAATTAAAAAAAAAGAAAAGAAAAAAAACTATGTAAAGTCATACTTGATAATAATATCAATTGTAATATATTTTTAATAATTATAAAATCGTGAAAGTAATTAAGTATTTATTTTATAAATATAAAATATTAATTAATTCAATACAAATTACGTATTTTCAATTTTTAATGAATAACAAAAAATAATTCCATACCATTAAAGCAAAATCAATAAAAATATAACTGAAACAAACAAAAATGAATAAAATTATAATTTAAGTTTCTTAATATTATTTTTAAGTTTTAACTAACGATCAATGAGTAAGCAATAGGTATGGAAATAAATTGATAAAATAATTTGTTCCAAATTACTGTGTTCTTAAATAAAAAATGTTTCATTACTACAGATACATTAAAACACTTTGCAATCCCTATGATTGTAAATTTTTAGTCAGAAACTATAAAATTATTTAATGGATTAATAATAGTTTACACTGTAAAACATTTAAAGTACGATTTATGTATGTGTCTGTGTTTTGAATCTATTAAATATTTGTTATATTTAATTATTATTTTTAAATTAATTAGTAGGTACACAAATTATAGTAAATACTTGAATATAAATTTAAAATTTGGCTCGGAAAATAGTAGGTATACTACAATAGAATTTAAATCGTATAAATGTCATCATGTAATATTTTAATCAAGTAAAGATTACTATAATATAATAAAATATAAACACTGCATTTAATTCTACCACTTGAATAACGAGACATAATTTTATATCCGACAACAAAGTTAAAAAATATTAAATTTTTAATTAATACGAACGATAAAAATGGCAGGATTTCAGTCATTGTTCAAAAAAAAAGAATACAAAAATTTAAACTGGACTTCGACATAGACTATAGAGTATAACAGAAATATGACGAATGGCACGTGTGATTTTTTTTTATTATATCTAAATTTACAGAAGATATTTTAATCAATTTAATAATAATTATTACGATTATTTTACTTAACAAAATTAAATAATTACAGTCAATTTTTTTGATTTTTGGCACATTTCATTAGCATGCAAAAATCACGCTCATTACATCTACTTTACCTATATATGTCTCATTACAGCTGTAGTATATTTATATATCTACAGATATAAATGTAATATTACATAGTATCGTTAAAAATTATTAAAAAAGAAAAATCCTTAGGAAATCTAATCAATTATTGTTATGTTATATTATGAATCATAGTTTTGTAAAGTATTCGTCTGACGAATTTCTACATTTGAGTCGTATCTGTTGACGGACGGAAGCTTCGACGCCGGACGGACAAAATCCACTTTACACAATTACTTTTTTCCGGACACGAACGTCGCAGATAACGATTTTTGGAAAACGATTTAATATTATGGTATATGGACGTAATACGTACTATTATAATATACTAACGTCGTTTATAAAACTGTATGAAAAACTTCGCGACATTGATGATAATAGTAATAATAATAATAAAATTAATTAATACACAAAACCTAAAATCACTATAAGTAATAAAGTTACACAACACGATGAATCGTGCATTTTTTCAGGAAGTAAAAATCACCGACCACAATTCGCGGGTTCCGGTTTTTCGTAGTCCCGTTAACGCGTTCACGATAGGTTGTAAGTTTTCGTGCTCTCATGCTTACAACAAAATTTTTGAATAGTAGCTTTACCCCCTCCCTCAATTTTTACCAATCCCCAACATCATCCCCGTTACATATTATTACATTACTATAGTCTCGTCATCATTGCACGTTCCTGAAAAACATGCTGAGCTTCCACATGGCCATGGGCTTTTTAAACACGGTCACTGAACCGTCGCGTTCCGTACCTCCCAAAAGGTACACCGCGTACTCTTTGACTTGATGGTGCTCAACAACTGCACCGTTACCGCCGCGACCAATGGTCGACGCCCGTCCAGCGCTCGCAGCCCGCGCCGCTTTCGTTGACGACCGAACGTCCGAAGAGGTCGAGTTGAACGCTGTCGATGACCGGACGTCCGCGCTCGAGTTGAATGCCGTCGACGAGTTGAGTGCCAGAGTCTTAGGCGGTGCAGGGCGATTCATGTCGCGCATTTCAAACGCGTTATCGCTATCCTCTAACAGGCTATCCGGCGGACTGTTGAGCTTGACGTAATCACCTATACACAACAAATGATCGAAAAACATGACATTTTAGGCCCATCATATTATTTTAATATAATTACTATTTGTATACATTTAAAATGGTGCTCAATGCCATTAATATATTAAAGTCATATTATATTGATAAGCAAATCTCTTTATAACGGCATAGTATGATATTATTATACTATTTTTAGTAATACTTATTGGTTTATATATTAATAATTTTATTGTCTGGCCACAGATAAATAAAACCAAAATATACAATACACACGCGGTGGATAGTGGGGCTCAGAGTTCAATGCAAGCGCATTCTTTTTTGGTTGCCTCAAGATAATACAAACGACTAGTCTATAATGTTGGATCTAAAATTTTTAATTAATTTAAATAGAAGGTGCTACAATAATTATTATTTCACACAGAATTTATCGAACACAAAAATGATTAACAATGATGTAATTTTTTACCGAGAAAGTAATACCCCAGAAACATCTCTTACCTTTGATTTTTATCAGTAATATATTTTAAGTTACTGTATAGTAATAATTAATTATGGATAAGTACAAGATATAATTTATTACACTATATTATTAGTATCATGATAGAGAGTGGATAGCTTTTATTATTGACGTGGGGTACATCCGCATGTGCTTACATTTAGTAGATACTTAAAATACTTATAAGGCGTATAAATGTATAATAATACTACATAATTATTTAATTTAAAAATAGTATTTAAAATTTGTTTTTATTTTATCTCATAACCCAGTTCTGTATCTTTTTGAATACTGAATAGTAAACCAATTCGAGAAAATTGAGTGTAAATAAAACATTTCGTAAGTTAAATTAAAAAATATGTTATTACAAAACTATGCACCACAGTTACAGCAGGAGATTGCAAAATTTCAATCTGAGTAAAATTAGTTTAAAATGAATGCAATCGGGATATTCTTGTAGATATAATGTAAATAAATAAATAATATAATATACAATTTATAAAGGATAATAATGAAATTTTTTTATAAATATTAGAATATAAGTGTGAAATGGAAAAAGCACGACTCGTGTTATATGCATAATTTTTGTGATATAATATTGCTGCGAATTAATATATTTTTTAACTCGTATATATTTAATTTTTTGATAAGAATTCGGTTGCGTTATAAAATTAAAAACGGACAATAGATAATATTAAATATGTTTTATTGTCCCTTAGAGACTAATAACTACTTAAAATAACAAAAATAAAATTTATAAAACTAATTTAAATTAAAAATAATTTACATGTTTCTATAGAACTTTTTCTACTCATACTTCATATATTTTACAAAAAAAAAAAATATAAATCTAAACACATAAATTATTGTTTGCAGATAATAACGATTTGGGCAAAATTATTGGACAAGAATAAAAAAATTTGAAATATGTGAGGACGCATAGATATTTAATTAGATATTAATGTAAAAAGATATAATTTATTTTTTTTTTTTAAACTTTTTTTTACTACAATATTTGGTAATAAAAATATTAGCTAGACCCCTTAGAAATTTTAATGGATTTTCGTCAATGGCAGGTTATACGGTACGACTAATGCCGCCTGCGGAGACAACTTATATAATATTTGAACGGGAGTAGGGCGAGATGATGTTAATTTCGGATAGATCATATGCTACGCCAGTGGCGTAGCCAAGGGGTTATTATACAGCCTTCTTCGAAATTTCATTTCAGGATAATTAAAAAAATACTTTTAGTGTTCAGTGAGACTGTGAACGTATTACCATTGAGACCATTGAGTATTGCAATGGTATAACACTATAACGTATATACGTAAGACGAAATAGTGAATTAAAATTGTTATTTATATGAAGGTTACTGCAAAAGTTTTAAGTGTTATATACCCATGATAATAGCGTATCAAATTTACGATAGATCCTAGTTAAGTTTTTCTTATATATCAAATTATCAGCCCTCCTCTCACCCATCACAGCAAAATACTTGATATACTACTGCACTGGGCGAGCAATATGTATTATTATATTATTGGGTGAAACAGGATTGCAGATGCTTTATTTTTTTTACAACAAGATTATGGCTACTATTATGCAATTAAAAATATTCGTTTTTACCCTAAAAAATCACATGATTGCGGATATTATTTAGTGTAACATTGTTAAGTTGTTTGACGCAGTCTGCCAAGTTTATAAATTATCAAATTTATAATTGTTTTTTTAATGATTTAAGATATATGATATATTTAAATTTTAAACTTTAAATATATTTTAAACCAAGTACAATACAATATTAATAATAATAATACAAATAATGATAACTGATAAGTAATAATTAATGTGCAATAAATGCTACTGACATCGTATTTTTATAAAGTCTAGAATATTATAATTATCAAAATAAAGTTTAAAATCAAAAACTATACTGTATTAAAAATGTTGTACAAATTAAAATAGAAAGTATTTAATTATACATTATATTATACACATTAAAATTTTTATTTTTATCAATCTGTAATGATAATTAATTGCTTTTAAATATTGTAATGTGTTTTTTTAAATTTTTATATTGTAATTAATTTTATTAATACTGCATTAATACTTATTTAATAAGTTCAGAATTCCCACATTATTCAAAATAAATTTGGTAACATTTATCCACAAACGCGTCGTTTTTGGGGATCCATTGTTAAACTGTAACCATCCGTAATCATATACTTTAGGTATTATTATATTAGTACTGTTTATTGTTCGAATTATTACTATTATTAAACTTTTTATATAGATTGTAAATATATGCATATTTAATTTAGTAAAAAAAAGAGTTTAATTTTAAAATAAATACGCTATAAAATATTATATTTATTACCACACACATAATTTGGTTTGTGTTTGTGCTTCTCCTTTTATTCATATGAACATTTTATATGAAAAACAGGTATTTCATAATGTTTTAATTTTTGATTTTATAAACTACAGCTACGAACATTGCATTTTGATGTACGTTTGAATAACAAACAATAATTTATTGTTATTTTATTTTATCATATAAATTGGTTAAGTTACTGTTTTTTAATTATTTTTTATAGCCTATTTTCACCATTGAAGTATTCCTAATTTCGTATTTTCCTTTTTTACCTGCTTTAATATCATCAAACATGCAAAGATTTGTTGTACTTATCTACTCTACAATACATTCTAATGATATTTCTGGTTTTTCCGTACTATGTATACAATGAGTACTATTATATAGAAGATACATATGTACACACACACATTATACTAACCTTTGGATATGGCGTTTTGTATATCAGCTACCATGTAATTAGGGTTGGAGAAACACATAGGTCCGTCGCCACTGTTAGGTGACTGGTGTACTGTCTCGATGCTGACGTATCCAGAAGTGATTTCACCCGGTTCCTCTGGCGTGCTGTATGGGTTGCCGAACCGTGCGGATGCGGAACTGGTCATCGGGTAACTGCGGCGGTTGAGCGTCTTATTGTTAAACGTCGACGATCCAGACGACAGCGGCCCGTTGGGGTGGAACCGCATGTGCACAGACCCGAAGTCGTGATCGAATTCGACGCGCGGGCTCGGTGCCTCCTCACCCTCCAGATACACCAGCTTGGTGGCCTCAACCGGAGTTAGTGCCACGCCGAAATTTGGCACCGACATTGGGTCCCGAGGCATCCTACACGGCGGGAACGATGACTTGTGACCGGGTGGCGACGCGTTCGACACTACCGGCGATATCAACGACCGTGCGATAACATTCGCCGACTGAGACTTGACCATGTTCTGCTGCTGTTGTTGCGCATGTGAAGTGTCAGCGGACATAACGCTGTCTGTGCTGCTCAGCACACTGTAAGTCTTGTTGTGCGCAAGCCGGTACAAATTAAGTTGCGATAGTTTCGAAATCTCTTTCAGGATATTTACGTTCGAACCACCCAAAGACGACGCCCGAGACTCAGACTTGCACTGGTGATGCCACTGATGTAGGTGACCACTGTGATCTCGATCGCCACTACTGCTCTGTTGTTGCCTGTCCACGGACCGGCCGCTCCTGGACCGTCGAACTATGGGTGACTGTACACCGTTCTCGCGGTTGCTCTTGGTCGTCGACATCGACGTTGTTTCCGACACCGTTAACGTCACGGCCTCGCAGATTGGCGGAGGCTGTGGATAAGTAGTGTTCACTTTTTCCCAAGTCTCGGTGGCTGTAAATAGAATATCAAATCGTTCAATACAACTACACTTTGGGGGCATAATTTGAAGAGAGGAAGTCAGCTTAAACGTAAAACGCCTTCATCTCTTGGCTTGCCGAAAGTTTGGCTAATAATATAACCACGAGATAAAAACTAATAGTTCCAATTATTCAATTGTTTAAACAATGAAATTAAAAAATAATAATACTTTATAATTTACATCAAAATATCAAAAATAAAAAAAAAAAAGGTCTAAAAATCAAAATATACCTAATTATATAAATATATAATTTTGTTTTAAGTTATTTTTTGTTAATAAATTCTGTTGTCTTATTTTATAAATAATAATTAAAAAAAAAACTCAAATTCCGCTATTGACTAATATAGGCGTACTATATTTTAACATAATATGCACAGGTTAGTTATTGTCATATTTAAAATCGTATTTGAATGTAATAAACAAAAAAATGTAATTAAAACTGTTACAATTGTTTTATATTCATTGCTTACTGTTTGTTTAATTCTAAAATATACAAGACATTATACAAATTATTACCGAAATAAAACTTCCACAAATCATTACTAAACTGTCCTCCTTTTTTTCCACCAAAAATAATCATAGAACCCATCACTTTGGAAGCACTGTGGCCATGCAATAAACCTGGATTTACTTTGGTCTTCAAAACACTCCATTTTTTCTTCACTGAAACAAAAAGTATTTTTTGATACAGTACCTATTTACATTTTGTGAATTTTTTTGAAATACATTTAATTTTTTGCTTTAATTTATAGTTATTAAAATGTTTAATGTTTTAATATTAAATGACTATATTATTATCAATAACAAGATAAAGTAATAATATAATAAATGCGTCCTATTTAACTTCACTATAAAAGTTAATAAATTAACCATTAATTTCATTTTAATATTATATTAGTACTAACCAAAATCAAATCTCCACAAATCTGATCTTTCATGCAAATCAGTCATTCCGCCATATACCCACATTACATCGTCGTGTATGATTGCTGAATGTTTGTGTCTTGCTGGTGGTTGTACTCTTCCTTGAGAAAGTAAATGCCACGACTCAGTATCTAAAATCAAAAAATATTCAAATTGATGTTAATTGTTTTTCGAAGTAAAAAAAATAATTTTGATGAATTAAAAATGTATCTGCAATATATAGTCTCAATGATAAAAATATTATATAGATATCACTTTCAAATAGTTATAAAAAATATAACAACTTAATAAATTCAAAACTCAGAAAATATTTATAATTTATATATTTTATAGTTACCAAAGTGAAAAGCCCACATTTCATTCGTAGATCCTTTTAAGTCTCTATATCCTCCATAAATAATCATTGAATTTCTGTATACTAATGCAGTATGACCTCTTCTGCCTTTTGGTACGTTTGAGCCGGATTTTCCTTTAACTTTTTTCCATAAATTATCCTAGAATATTAAAAGAACTATTTTCATCAACATATTTAAATTATATATTTTATTTATATAGCTACATCTATATTCTATTGTTTTCAAAACCCATTAACTACTGACGTTACTGAGTGTTGGTTAATACATAATATTTGCTGCGGTTTAATGTTCTGAAAGAGTCGATGTAAATACCGACGTTTCCCTCATCCACATTATAACGCCAACCAGTATTATAATAACGTTCCCCTCAATGGGTATGCAGCAGTTGCTTCGACATTACGAGGGTGCGTTTATTAATAAATACCATTTCATTTTATAGTACTCAAAATATAAGCACCTCAGAATACAAAATTGTAATTTGTACGTAGGTATATACAAATTCAAAGCAACACATTTATAAAATTGATCCATTAAAATTAAATGAACTTAAACTCAACAGATGTTTAGTTTTCATATGTATCATAAAAAACCAAACAAAATTTTACACATTTTTATTTTTTTCTCAGTAGGTATGTTTTTATTAGTTTTAAAATAACTTTTAAATATTAATGCTTCTTCTCTAAAGGTTATTGAAAATTCCAAAACTAAATTGAAAGGTAAATACGATACTTTTCTTAGCTGTGAGATTATGTTTTTTTTTTTAAGAAATATGAGTAAAAAGCAAACAAGTGATGAAATGGTGATAAAAATATTTATTACATTTAAAAATTACAATGTAAACTAGTATAACTCAAATTTATTTCACGGCCTTTGTTTTGTGGCGTAAGTTTCACAAAACATTAAATAAATTATATAATTTAAGAAACTACTAGAAAACCTTTTATACATTAATAATTATTACTTAATTACTTTAAAAGTTTATAACTATAGCTTAAGGATTCTAATTAAATTCAGTAGAAATAATCTAATTATTTAAAACCAGAAGTAGTTTATATATTATATTATATTATGTTTTAATTTAATGAATAATTTTTACCAATTAATATAAAAAGATAAATGTTATAAAATAAAATATCTTTCATAATTTAGACCACTTATGTACGTATTTAAATTAGTGCCAATATAATATATTCTTTAAAAACGTTCCAATAATATATTAAAATCCTCGATTATCATTATTTTATTAATACTTTGATAATTCAAAATAATATATACCTAAGTTTAAACAGATTATGCGTTTTTAAATAATGAGTTAATAGATTTTTTAATTTTCTTTAGTTTTCATTTCACAAAAATAACCAGACAGAGTTTTAACTTACTAAATCGATATGTATTTATATAATATTGATTATTTTATATCTATGTTTTCACAATACAAATTTATTTTACAAATCATATTGTTACAATCCTACTGAACAAGGATTAGCATAATATTATCTATAAATTGTAATTCAGGCGATAAAGAAGGGTAACTTAATCCTGAGGCAATAATGTAGAGTTATCCCGATACAAGGAGAATACTGATTTTAACGGATTTTAAAAGTATGACAAACAAACGCCGCTACTCCATCGATTCAACTTAGTAAAACCTAGTATAATACCGATATTTGTTGGTGTCGAAGAAAGAGATATAATTCTCGATTCGTTAGTTATGGCCAACAGGGGCGCACACGCCACTTGCAGCTGCCACTACGCGCAATCCATCAAAAACAAATGAAAAAAGAAAGTAGATAAATAAGAAAACAACAGTGTACGTGCTTCGAAGTTCGAATAACCGCCCACCACACTTGTAAGAAATTGGATTATCTCGATTGCGCGTCTTGGCACTTTTCACAGCAAATGATCAACTTTTTCTCCCAAATATACGCTACTGTAGCATGACTATGGTTTACACGAGATTTTGATACGAAGCCAAAGTAGGCGCGATGGTCGTGAGCTTTTATCGGGTGTAGGTAGGTACTATATGTACACACAAGTCGAATAAAACAGTCACCCTTCACAAATACACATAGTGCTATACATATCGCATCCCTTTGGGGATAAAAATGAATTGTACCACCCGTCTTTTCTGTCTCTCTCCAAATGAATCACCCTTCTGCAGGAAGGTAGATACATGGGAACTGGGCACCCTCGTCTTTTACCCGCAGCGTCAAATTAAAAGAATTGTCAGTGAACTAGCGTGACACTCGTGGTTTTTGCTAGAAAAACACGGAACGTTGCACTGCCTTAAGCGCAATTAACGTGTTTTCGGATGCGTTATAATTTTCAGACAGACGCAGAAAAATGTTGAAAGCGTGAAAAGCGAAAAAAAATTCAAACACTATAAATAAATATACAAAACGAAAGGATATATTATATATATTATGTATATGTTAGGAGAAAACGGATTATAGCCTTTAAACGTGAAAACACATCATATATAAAAATCTTATTATATACTGAAATAATTTTAAAAAAAATTCTAAATATAAAACGTAATTTGTAGGATGTTTTTCCTATTTACTCGAATACTCGATAGTTAAGTTATTACATAATGTTGAATTATTTTTATTAAATAAAATCATTTTTTAAATGTTGATACACAATTTCTTTTAAATGTATATATTTAAAAATTAAAAATTAATTTTTCAACTTTTCTGTTTTATATTTTTAACAACTTCGACTTCACCAATGGCTAATATACATTATATATTAATAATAAGTTAGATAAAATACAATATTAATATACGATAATTAGTAAAAAATACAGTGAACAATTTATATTCAATTTAGTTTAAACGTTAAATGCTTAAATTTAACTATATTTAATAATTGGTTTTAAAATGAAAATAGTCAAATTATTTTGATTTGAATTTATTTATTTATTGTGATTTAGAAGTCCATAACTTTATTTAAAAATTCCGTATGATTATAATTATTTAATAAATACAAAATAATATCTCAATGATATAAAATATAGCTCAGAGGCTAAAACGCATTTATAAATAGATAATACCATTAGTAATTTAAGTAAAAGGATACAATATAGAGGACCAATGTTTTTAGAAATATTTTAAAACTTAAATAAATACAATTTAATATTTTTTGTTATTTTGTATTCTTTTAAAGTCAAAGTTCAAAACATTCAAAAATGTCTATGAAAAATATATCCGGAATAATTGTATAAATATTTTAGTATATCTAAGACAATACACTAAATCAAAGTTGAAATTCATGCTTTCATGACTATGTAAGTAGTGTTGGGTATTATTACCACGCTATACTCTATTCAACAAAACATCTAGGTTTAGTAGAAGGATTCGGTGTTCTGAAACCGTCATAAATAAATAAATAATATCCTCTCAAGACGATTCCAATTGTTAGAATTTTTTATTTTTTGTGGCTTTTATTTTAAACATATAAATAGTGTAGTATGTGTATTGTTTTATTTTACTAATATATTTTACTAGTAAATTTCTATATTTTTAAATAATACAATTTTATTATTTTAATTATAAGTGAAATATATCAATAGTATTAAGACTCAATAAGGATTTACAATTACAACACTAATAGTAATACTTTAAAAAATCTTGTAATAAGTTCTTCATAAAAAATTAATTTAAATTCTTCATAATTAAAATTAAATTTATTATAAGTTTGTTTGATAAAACCAAACAGAAAAAATTAATATTGTACGTACATTGTATACAAAGTATAAAGATTATACTACAAAAGCAAATGTACGTGTATGATATATAAACTGGCCCACTGGATTACTATGAATTCCCTGATAGGTGTTAGCTGATTTTGTATCCAATTTATACGCCTCACCTTTTTTTTTAAATAATAAATGAAGTACAGAATTTTTACAGAAGTGAGCTCCTGTTTATTATTTCTATCTTTCAAGGTAGAAAATTCACATAGTAGATATTCAGAGATATTGAAGTTTTAATATTATAAGTTTGTTCAAAAGTATAATTACCCGCATAAACCTACTTTTAAACAGATATTATAATCATTAAATGAGGTACTTTAGTTCAATGCATATAACACTAAAATAAATCCCGATCCAAAAATTATACAAAATTGATCATTTGAAATAATACAACTAATCAGATTACAAGTATTTGAATGTAAGATATTATATTTAAAAAAATTACATAACTTATAAGTAACCCGGAACTTGATGCATTTGCATATTTTTTTCTAATGCATTTATACGACGCTTGTCTTAATAGAAATGTGGCTTTTTATGTAAAATTCAATGAAACATTTTTATTTTACATTTTTTGAATTTTTCGGTAATTTTTGGTTATACGATCATTTTTTACTGATTTTGATGTATTTTTGCATTTTTTACATTTTTCTTTTATAATATTTTGACAAAACTAAATATTTAAAAAAACTAACGTATTATATAACTCAATTCTTCAATTATTTTTCTATAAATACCGATTTATTTTTTGCAATTTTCTTATATTGCTCTCACTATCTCTTATCGCCGTTTTAAATTTAATTTATGCCTTGTAGTCTGTAAAAAAAAACATATTTAATGTATAAAAATTAAAAATATTAGCATTCTTTAAATTCGGATGAATAAAATAATAAATTAATGATTAAAAAATATTAATTTAAAAACGATAATTTTTTGATAATTTATTAATAAAAAACGTAATTTTTGAAAATGTTATGTTATTTTTGGTATTTTAGGGTCATTTTTTGATGTTAATAAGTAATTTTAACTTTTTAGTGTATATTTTTTTTAAAAGGTTTAAGTCATCAAGTTCCAAGCCTTACTTATAATTAATCACGCTAAGATTCCTTTTTTGTATTTAAATGAACATATTTATTAATTTCTATTAACAGATTAGTCCATACACGCCATTATGAAAAAGATTACAAGACACTTTAATGTTAAATGTTGAGTTGTGTGTTTGCTGTGTATAATATACTAATTAGTAAGTTATAATCAATGCTAAGTTTAATACTATACATATATTTAAGAAAATATTAATTATTGCTATTTAAACTAATCCATTTTAATAAATAATGTATGTATTACGTTTTATAAATCTTCTTTACTAAAGAACATATAATTCCGATCAAATATATAAAGCAGTTTTATGACAAGATTTTTGAACTAAAGTTTAATGTTCGACAGCTTTATGTAAAGTATCATGACCAAAAGTCATAAAAACAACTACCAATATCCATTCCATAATCTATGTATCCAATATAAACTCCATTTTTAAAATCCTTATAGAAAATATATGTAGTACCTACCAAGTATTTCAAAAGTATACATAAAAAGTTTCGATTTTTAACTAATTATGTTTTTTTCTAAGTTATATAAAATAAATGTTTATAAGGTTTAACCATTAGGAATACGTTATAAAATCAAATTATTAACCTCAGAGTCTAAAATTATATGAAAGTAGAAATTATTATCGTTAATTTGAAATGAGGGTTGAAGTCCAATATCTTAAACTATTGTTACTTGCAGAGTGCTATCGTAAAAGCAAATCGATTATATTTAGTTCTACCAGAAAAAACTTTACTCACATTTTTTCCCCTCTCCCCTATAAACTGTCGTCAAGTACGATTTTTATTACTTTGAGCCTTTAGGCTAAAGGAAGGATGTGAAAAAAGTCAACTTTGGATGAATAAAGAGGGCGAAATGGTAGAAATATATAACTGAAATTAAATAATGTTCTCCGACTATACGACAAGCAATCATGATAGATTTTGATCGAGAAATATAATATGTACAGATTATTGTCACAGTGGCATCGCATTTTATGTAAAAAAAAAAAAACCTCATAAACTAACCAAAATAGAGATTACACAAGTATTTCATAATTTTCATCTATTTTTCACTTACAAAATACAATTTAATACTATGATTTTATATGAAAGTTAAAATTATTGAAAATTATTTTATGATTAAATATGTACTTATTTATTTATACTTCGTATGAACCTATTAATATTAAATAAAAACAAAAAAAAAAATCAAAAATTAGTCTGCTTCTGACGTTTTCTATACCATACATAAGTAAATGTTTGTCAATTGTCACTAAAACTAAGTGCGTAATAACTGACAAATGATTATTATAGGTTATAACTAACATAATTAGTTTGATAATATTAGCTTTGGTTTAAAATAGCTATACGAGTATATATATATATTTATTTTTTTCAAATCTGTAATTATTATTATAATAAAAGAAATATTTTTATGATACTCTATATATAATAATATTATTACTTAATGTATAAATGTTTATTGAATAACATTTAAGACCATTATTTGCATAACTATTATATACTATTATATATAGTATAAGTATTTTGGTTATTGTACATAAATATATAATTTTTAAAATATAATTATTATGCAATAAATGCATAATAAAAATGACATATTTTCATTTTATCATGTAAATTATACTAAAAATCCAGTACCTACGCCAAATTTATGCATGTATAATAAAATGTATTAATTATTACCAATATTTAATGAAATTTTAAACTTTTACACGGTGATTCTTAACTTTTATTCGTATCATGAAACTATCAAAATAGTAATATATAAATGTATGTTGTATAAAATATATGCACCATATTTTAATAATTATATTGCATATTAATTACTAGGTAATATAAACCTCCAATTAAAATTTAATAAAGTGTATAAACAAAATGATAATTAAAGTATTAAGTAGGACAATTCAATTTGTATATTTTCAGCTAAGTAAACAAACGCTAACTAATTAAAGGAAATATTTATACTCTTCGAAAAAGGGTAAGTACAGTTAAAAAGTCATTAAACCAAATGAGTCACGTGAATATAATAGAGGCTTATGTTTGACCAACAACCATCTGTGTCAATTATTATCTAGTATATAAGTCTTAAAGTTATGCATTACCAATTACATTCGTTATTAACTATTTTACAGTATATCAAAAATTACTAAACCAGAAATATTAAAAACCATCATGAATCGTTTAATCTTTTTCACTGCTGCACTCTCATTAGTCTTCACCATCACCAATACACAAAGTGTGTCAGATTCCGATGTTGATTCCGAAACTTTGGATGAATCAACCACCGAAATTCCCACAGAATACGTTGAAGATTTAACTAATATGGATTCAACTAACAATAATAATGAATCAGACAAAGCACAAGAAGATGAAATAGCCAATGAATTAGCTTATATGATAACGTTCATAACAAAATCCTTCACAGATATGTCAATAATTACAGAAAACATGAAAAGTCTAAGTAATAAATCGAATATTAATGAAGCTTCTATGAAAAATCTTGCAGATAATTTAATGAATTACGCGGATGACACTAATATCATGAAGCAGCAAATCAATCGTGTGATGGAATATAGACGCCAATTTCAAGACAGTATTCTAAAACAAATGAACTTATTACCATTTAGTGCAGAAGAGGCGAAAGCAATAGAAAATGAACTACGTAAGCAGATGAAAATACGATTACCTAATATTCCAAGTTCACAAAACATAATGGATCTTCCAAGTATGCAAAACTTTTTTCAAAACTAAATTCAAGTTTATTTAATTTATTTAGTAATTTTACTTTAAAGTTTGTTTCCACTATTATTTACTGTGTCATTTTGGTCATGTTTAAATAAAATATAAAATAGTTTTAATTTATACACTTTTGTATTAATTTAAAAAAATAATAATAATATTGCCTTTTCTATAAATAACTATTTTTGGAATTTTGTTGTGCTTTATAATACTTTAAGTACAACTCTCAGCATTAATGAGTAATATATTTTTGCTATAAAACAATTAGAGTGTATATTTCAATATTAAATAAAATTTAAAAAATGAAAAGTTAATGTTAATTGATATTATTTCTTTTAAATAACTATATACATAACTTAATAATTAATTACCTACCATTGATTTACCTATATTAATAATATGGGTATATTCATTAAGCATTACTTATGTTTAAGTATTTAGGTTTTTTGAATCCTTATGAAATTATTTAGGATTTTTTTCAAGCCAATAACTATAATGATGTATTTAATAAAATCAAATTTAACCCCTTACTAACATTATTATTCATTACTTAAGTAATTCTATATATTTTATGTGTTCAAAAGTATGCTATTATTTATTTGTTCTAAAAAAGTTACTGTTAAAAATGTTTATCCAGAAAAAAAATTAATCAATGTCAGTAAAATAACAATTTCAACATAATTTAGAAATAAATTTGGTTTTTCGTAAGAAAATTAAACACTTTCTCAATTAAAATATTAAATTATCAAACTACTTAGTTGTGCCGATATATTTTCTTATTGTAAAGCAAAGCAATACTAAACATAATGAGCCTCTACAATATATCGATAACAATAATATAATAATTATTCTTTATGTGCTTGTGTAGCATAAATGTCTAAACTACAAATTTATATGGTTATATAAATAAATATTTTAAGGGTTTTTCCTTTCATATAATATGCATTACCTTAATACTGTAAGACCACAGAGGAGACTCAGAGGCAGATGAAAACCCCACTTCTCCGCCAAAAACATAGACTTTGTCTTGATAAACGACTGCTGTATGTTCTTGCAAATTTTGCAATGTATCTCCTGTCGGATGCAATTGTTCCCAGGTGTTATTCGCTAAAATTCAGTAAACAAATAAAAACATTGTAAATAATACAAACTATAATATTACGCAATGCATTACATTAACCGTTATAGATTAGCCCCAATATATTTGCAAAAAAAATTAATCATATTTTAAAACTATAATAATTGTTTCTAATTTTTTTTAAATGGAATTTTAAGTAAAACGTATAATTAATCATAAAACCACTTTATACTACATTTATCCTACTTTGTAACATTTAATAAATATAAAAACAGTATATTTTAACTAAAAACAATAAAACGATAAACAACTTTTCAATTACTAATTTATTTTTCAGACAAATATAACGTTTATTGACCAAACTGTATGCACTACAATTTAAAATCACTTACACTCAAATTTTATAACTTAAGTAAAAGTAATACCAATTAAACAAAGTGTATTACATTCAAAGTTTTTAATTTTTATATCCTTGAATTTTCAACCACAAGATTAATGTAAGATCTTCAATTTAATTAACTTAGCATTATTTCATATATATCTACTTGAGTTCTACAACAATAATAAGTTGTTACAAAATTAATACCATTGCAAAAATATATAAATATAATAATTGTTGATATCTAAATTTAAACGGTTATTTGTTTATGCACATAAACGTAACTAGAATAGAAGATTGTTTTGGAAAAAAAGAAATTTTAAAATTAAATATTTACATAGGTGCTATTATTTAAAAAATACAAGCCCCTTTTATTCCAACAAATTTATCGCCGAAACAATTGTAATTCGATTGTTGTAACTACGTATGTCAAAATGAAATTAGAGGTGATTTGTATTCGGACTACGTATCATACTTACACAGGGCGTATCTCCATATGTCTTTAAGGGGCCAATTTCCATTTCGACCGCCGACCACATAAATGTGATTACCGTGAACAGCAGCACTATGCTTAGATCTTGTTGGTGGAACACTGTTGTCACTTGTAAATGATACTGGAGTCCACATATTACTAAAAAATAAACAATTTAAATCAAAACTCATGATTACCAAATTTTCATAGACATGATTATGTGTCTTATCTGTATCAATAAATATAGTATATAATACTTTTAACTAATTTTCAATGAAAAAAAAACCAAAAATATTTTAATGTTTGTCTCAAGTAGACTTTAGAACACATTCATGTGTATTAGACAAAGACTTTCAATCTTTTTAATATAAATCTTAATATTGTTCACTAGTTAACTTTTATTTCAGTGTTAGTTTGTGTGGTTAAGAATTTATACTTTAAAAAAAAAAAATTAGTATAAGAATTAAGAAGTTAATAATTTTTTTCACCAACTCATATATTACGGTTTTGTCTTCAATCTATCACATTATATATGCCAGTATGTCACTCATAAATACCTCTGTTCACTACCCTTAAATAAGCTCTAGATCCACCCTTGCATGAACCAAACCCATTTAATATTTGGACGATTTCATTTACATATTATATAAGGTTTGAAAATTAATTATGTACTACGATATCAACTATTAAGTAATATATTATGTGACATAATTTATGTTATAGATTATAAATTATTCTCATTATGTATAAACGTAATAAGCTCTAGATTCAAACGTATTTTTAGACAACTCTTCATTCGTATTTCATTAATCTTATTATTTTTCCTATTATATACTATTATATATAGGTACTTATAAAACTTATGTTATATAAATTCAATTAATTACTAATTATTATTTACAATTTCAAAAATATATAACAATAATAAGTATTAACTGCGACTAAACAGTGTACATCAAACATATACATTAAGATCAATATCATGTAAGATAGTATAAAAATGAATAATGGGACTAAAAGCATTTCATAGTACAATATGTATGTTTATGGTTGATAAACACGCGATTTCAACCACTAATTGAAACACCTTAACAAAATATTCTCATTGAAAATGATTATTACCTGTTGTGATGATTAGATATTAACGTGAAACATTATACATATTGCCATATTGGTACATTAATAATTGGTGTAATAATTATGAATAGATAGATAATTAATAGACTACATCAATCAGAATAATGTTGTAGTTGTACTCTAAATTAGTAGTATAAAATACCTACAAGACAATAAATTTATAAGTATAATCATTTTTAACAAATTTGTAGATACCACACTTAGAACTCAATTATTTTTTTTTATTATTATTATTCTGCAACGTATCTAAACGATTCTGAATGACTTTAATAACATTTTAATTTTTAAATATTAAATATTAAATAATAAAATAATAGATAAATGTACATGTTTAAAATTAAATTATATGCTAATATAATTTTTTTGTTATACAATGTACATGATTCATTTAAAATAATTAACTAATTTCATTGATTAAAATCTAAGTAAAATTAATTATAAATAGAATAAATAAATGAATGTATACGATTAAAAAATAAACAAAATAAATTATTCGTTCTTTTGTCTTTAAATACTCAAAATATCACATTTATATTATGTTTGTTAGATAGTAATCTAGTATAAAAAACATAATAATGATAATAGGTATCATTATACTCAGTTTGAAAAACTTTTCAACTTATACCTTATAAATAATAAGCTTTAATATCACACTTTTTCCATAGAACTGATTATTTAAAACCATTTAATAATTCATGTATTAAAAAATTAATATATAATCTATATCCAACTATGTACAAATATTAAATTAAAGTAAATATTAATTATACACATATATACCTAATATTACGTGTGGCTCTTCTTTCTATCCCTCGTCTCAGCGCATACTACATATTCGTATTAAGCTTTTATCTAATATAAACAATCGCAACATCGTTACATAGTATATAGAATAGTGTATAACATCTTTCCAGGGACAGAGTAACACGAATTCCCCAAGGGACGTTCTCCCGACAACGATGATGGACAGAACGATTCCCCCCGGAACGATACGTGCATGTGCGTAAAAGAATTTTTTTCTGTTTCTCCTACCCAAAGTACGTTTTTATTTTTTTTCTTTAACGACAATCCCGTACATAAGAATCCTTGAATTTAATACGACGAGGGATGGAAATCGTGACCACGCACCGCGGTTGCCAAGGAGGGTCGTTTTCGTTATAGGGTACGCTTGGCGATTCTTCAATAATTCAAAGTTCCAAAACGAGGGATCTTTACCGACCAACAGCACATAAATTGCCATAAACCTCAGCTGGTAGATACTATAACGTTTCAACACTATACGCTTGGCCATAAGTCTCAGCACACGAGAGCTTTCACTGAAATTAGCTACTATTCATGATATAGGGGAAAAAACCTGTACCATTAATGCTACAAATGTCCGTCATACTGACATCGTCACCACAGCGTTTTAGCTATATAAAAGCTGCATACGTATACAAGTCACGTAAACCACTTTTTTCAGCCTCAATATACGCATATTATGTGTGTATGCGCTGTCGTTGAAGATAAACGACTCTTTTGGGACTATATAAGAATTATATAACCAGCCGATTTTTATGGTTATATAAATTGTTAAAAATAATTGCAAATAATCTATGTAATATTAGTTTTAACTTTCGATTGTTCATATTAGCCTTCCTTCAAACTTTGAAATAATATCACAGTCTCATGGGACTTATAACTTTGGTCGTTTAAAAGATAACATTTAACCATCTTAGTCTTCATATAATAGTTTGTCCTCAAATAATTGGTTAAACTCTTTAGTCATGAGGGAATATTACGTATAATATTGTTAAATTGTAATTATTATCATAGATAAATATATGGCATAATATGTATTATGTATATTTCTTGTACAGTATATGAACTAGATTAATTTTAATTTCACAAACAAGTATTCAAGCATTTACGAATAAAAACAATAAATTACAATTTTGTTGCGTTTTACATGAACTAAATGTCTATATAGTAAATATCGGATTAACCAAACGACTCGAAAATCGACTAAAACTACCGACAAGTAAACACCCTCGTCGTATTACCAAATGTACTATGTATGTAAATTTTCATCAAACCGCTTAGCTATATTGTTTTTTCTATTTTTATTTTTTTTAAATATTAAATATCAGAATTTTTTAAACAAATAATATATAGTTTTACAAATCTAATATTTAAAATAGAGATTATTTATATTTTTTTTTTAATATATTATATCATGTTAAGCCATTTACACTTCTTATACCTGTCGTAAGTAATAATCTTAAAAAGACATATTTCTTTCTATAGTTGATATTCTCAGGAATCTCATTTTCAATTTTAGAAAATACTTTAAAACTCATGAATACATAAAATATAAATTTTAAAGTATTTTAACTTAAAATATTAAAACTAGACTGATTAAAAGCTTATAACATACTAAACATATTATTTTTAATCTGTAAAACTTAATACTCTCTAAAAAAAAAATACTTTTTGATAACATAAATATAAGTAGATCTACAAATTTAAAATTGGATACAGACAAAATAATTTTTGTAAAGACTTAAGAAAATTATATACTAACATTAAATTCCCCAGTGCAAGTACTATAATTTACGGAAGAACACAATGCTTTATCAGTTTAAGCCAATTACCCACACAATAAAAAGTATAGCATGGACAATAAGTATCGTAATTTGTAGCACAAAGTTAAACCCATCTAATAAATTGAATTACGTTAAAAATAAAACAAATTAATATTGATTCAAAGAAGGATAAGGACAATAACTATAAATAGAGATTAGATTTCTTCGTCTACTAATCCGTAAATCAAATAATTTTCGATCACTTTTTTCATAAAATATTATAATTAACATAATCCGCCGTACGTAAATATACAAACGTCAAACATAAAGAACAAATTTAAAAAGTTGTTTTTTGTTTATATATTAATTTATAAATTATAAATTATAATATACTCTTTATAAATTAATATTAATATAATTTGTATAAATTAATTCTGTTATAAAAAATCAATATTAATTTTAATTTGACATAACACATTATATTCTTAAATCAAATATTTTGAGTAAGATTTTTAATTTTTTTTTATGAGGTTATACACTTATATAGATATTTTTAAATATGTATTTTTATTTTGTTTTACCATTATTTAATTATATTTTTAGTCAAGTAAATTTCGCTAAAAACCGTTATGTTTTTCATATATATATATATATTATTAAATATTGTATAACAATTACATCGTGATAAATACAATATAACCACATCTTACACAAATATTTTAGTACAATTAGATTCAAATTCGTGATAAAACGTTTGATATTTTCTATTCAAAAACACAGTTGTACATAATTACTTACAATATTATATCTATGTCATAAAACATTATCAACGCATTTCACAAGTATTAATCACCGCCATAACATAAAATATATTTATCAAATCTACAGTTATTGTTCACTGGCCTAACAACAAACTGTAAAATTTCAACCTAAAGAAGACCAACACAAGTTACATATTTTATGTATATAACACGTTTTATAGGTGTATATTAAGTAAGTACCTATATTACCAGTTATAATATATACCACGTTAATTCCAAAGCCGAGCTCACAACTATATCTCTTTTCGTGTTGTACAGTTACTAGTATTGCATTCTGATTGCTCGTTGTAATTATATGGTATAATTCAATTATCACGAACTACCGTGAAATTTTCAGAGTTGGGTACAACTCAACTTTTGGACACAACACGAAACACCTGCAGTGAATCCGACTTTACGCGGATTCGAAATGTTTTTCTACGGAATAAATTCAAATACCTACCGCAATATAAACTCGGAAAACTACTGAAAACAAATTCTGATTAACGGCCGCAGAGGCTCCTCAAACGCCACTGCAGCGCGTACGTGGTACCTACCTATCTATCGGATATAAGCTGCTTCAGGTACGACCGCAAATGTTATCAGTCGCTGCGGTATTGCAGTAATTATTGTAATATTATTACAAACAGCCTG